ACTAGCTAATCGTCAATAGACTACGCTCTTATAAGGCCTTTATTATCACTATCAATCTATACGCTATATTTTCGAATTCAAATGTAAATAGTTATAGAAAAAACTCTATTTTGATTCGGAAACAGAAATCGATATTAGAGTTAGTCGTGAGGCTTGTATATATTAGACCTATATATTTATTCTCTAAGATTCCGTAAGCCTAGAAGCAAATCAACTTATCTTCGGATAGTCTCTCTCCGACAGTCCCCCGTCAAACTAAAAAAGCCTCCCGCGTACGATCTATACGTTAAGCTTTCAACTCTATCTAATTTTAATAAGAGATAACGCTAGCCCTATTCATCCGATTATAAGAGACTTTAAGAATTTCTCTTATTTTATTAATTTTAAAGTAATTCTTTAGAGCGATAACGTAATATTTAGAGTATATTATAAATGAATTAAAGATAGTATAATAGTAGTAGAATAAGAACTCGTATCGTATATAATTATAATTAAATCGCTAGTATCGATGAGAAGATCGATATCGATAGATCTTATAAGTAGATAAATACTTATCTTTTTTTTATATTCTTATATTTTATTTAAACTTAACTTCTATTTCGCTTATTTATATATTATAAATATTATCGAGTATACTACGACGGTTATAGATAAGAAGAGACGTATTTTCGTTATCTTCTTAGTTATCTATAAGCGTATCTCTATTAATAGCGAGATCTTTTCTAATAAGAATATTATAATTCTACGTCTTAAGACTTAATCTTATATATAAGAATTTACTATAGTAACTAGTTATAGCGAGTATTAAACTCGCTTAGAAAATATAGAATTTTCGTAAACTTAACTTATAGCCTTTCTGAAATTATAGTAAAAGTTATCGCTGAAAATCTATTTTAAAAAATCTCTTTTTCTTTTTAAAAAAAAAAATTTTTTTTTAAAAAAATATTTCGAGAAAAAAAAAAAAAAAAAAAAAAACACCCCCAAAAAAAAACCACCTTTACAAAAACCACACACCCCCGGGGGGGGGGGGGGAAAACGGGGACAAAAAAAATTGTGGGGGGGGGGGGGGGGGGGGGGGCAATAAAAAAAAAAAAAATAAAAAAAAAAAGCAAAAAAAAATCATAAAAAAAATTCAAAAAAAAAAAAAAAAAAAAAAAAAGAAAAATGTAGAAGGCCCGGGGGCTTCAACCCCGCGGGGCCAAAAAAACAATGACCATTATGGAACCGGATTGATGCAGGGTCGCAGGCGTGAAGAAATGGCAAATGGCATGCACTGTCGTAATGCTGGTCCAGAGTGGGTATCTTGCGAAACGAGAGCAGCGTGGGAGCGGTGTATTTTTGTCCTGGACACCAGCGGCTACTTAGCTGCCGGAGTAGACATCCACCAGGCGGGCAAGGAGATACCAATTGTCAAACAAAGTGGCAGTTTGAGGGGTCGAGACCCTCTTGACTTCACGTCAAAATGAGTATCAACCCGCAACAATGTGTGGTCCGTGACTCGTCTGGTTCAAAAAAAGCGTGGAACAGCGCAAATTCCCATCGCTGATGATGCTTCGGTCGGAATGTTACGGATCTGAGCCTTTGAATGCTACTATTACTGGCATCTACCTTGAGGCACCTGCACTAAATCTCCCGCACCATCAGAACTTTTGGACTTCATCTCAGCATATCAGGGCGGAAACAGTTGAAGCCCAGTCTCCTCTTTTACCTGCGCCAGGCCGAAGGCTACACTTGTTCACTTTCTTCGGGTATTCCTCTTGCATCAGCGTCAAGATGTCGCCCGCTGCTCCGACATAGAATTGTGCTCCAAGACCCCGCTGTCCAAACTCAGACGCTTTAGGTCCGCCCTCAACTTCGAATGATTTGATATCGGTGTATATGTGGTAAATGTAATGATAATCGCTCGAGTCCGCTGGAGTGTCGAGGCTGTTTGGGGGCAACGCTTTGCTGTGAGTAGGGCGCATCTGCTGCATAGATGTATGTGCGTCCAGAAAATTACCTTAGCTGAACAAAAAATCCGAGTTGAGGCTCTGTCATACCATACTAGCTCCCAAAACAATCCACCTCGGTCCCATTCAGCAGTTTCATGTTTCCCAAGATTGGTTGACCAGCATCGTTGAGCTGGAATCCTTTCTGTGGTGGGTACACGTAGTCTCCATCTTCGCCAGTCCAGGGCCTGAGAAAGTCTCCTAGAGTCTGACCGCTAAAGTGGTCATAGTCGGACACGGAACTGAGTTATGGCAAATGCATGAAACTCCCGAACTGCCAATGTCGTTCGTGCCTGTGCAGTTATAAGTGTAGAATGCATTCCAGAGAGATTGCTGGGGAGAGGTGAGCTCGTTGTTCAAAATCGAGGTTAAAAGAGCGGCATTGAGGACCTTATCTCTTGCTTGAAAAGCCCCACAGTGTTAGTGCTTGCGATACTTGCACAAATGGGATACTGCGGGCGCATTCTGAGGGATTTTCCGTGTCATAAAATTGGGTAACACGAGCTAGGAGAAGTGATTGCACCGCTATCCGCGGAAATCGGCTCGTTCTTCTTCTCCGCGGGGAAAGACGCATACCATGCAGCGTTGTGTCGGGAGGTTCATAAGAGTCCATTTGAGACGATATACTCCGTACTCAACCTGGTGCGAAGAAACGGAATGGGTTGGCATCAACTTCGAGGGGTAAGAGCAAGCTCCGCTCAACAACTGCCCGTTCCGTCCGATACCTTTCCTAGTGCAGCATTATTGGAGCATCTGCATTTTTGACCCTATAAGCAAAATAGCCATGGCTTCGCTCTAGTGGACCAGTGGTGTATGAATGGCTATCGCGTCAATACTCTAGGTACATCACATAAGCCAGAAACGCCTGACCCATAAGGCGAGCAGATGAGTTCTCCTGTCTTCGGCAGTCTTCTTCCGTAACGATGGTCTGATAAATCACCATGCATATAGAGTAATGTCTGCTAACACACGTGAACACGTTCTCAGACGCAGATTTTAGGTATCACTTCGAGTTGATACGCTAGTCTATTAGGTCTCGTTGAGTGCATTATCCAGATTCAAATGTAGGATGCGGATCATGCGGCTTTCAAGGTTGTCGGGCCGCACGTACGCATGAACCATGTGGTTCGTTTGGCTGTCTTATATCTTGCAGCTGCCCCTCCTGAAGCGTGCACAAACATCATTGACTCAGCCGTGGCGGCCGCAACCACGTTCTGACATCCCATAACAAAAGAAATAGAATTGCAGCTTTCGCGTGACTAAAACTTATCATTTTCCGCAGGAGCGCGGCAGGTACATCTGACTCCACACAATGAAACTACCTGTCTCCGCTCTAACGTCCCGAGAAACCTCGTCAGAAGATCGCGCATTCAACAGCCGGCATGTGTCTCCCAAGATCCGCGGTCCATGTCCCTGCCCGCGCCGCTGTTAGATCCAGAGGCAGACTTCGTTTCGTCGGAGCATGAAACCTAATAAAGCTCTTATTCAAGTATGGGGGTGAAGGTTCCAATGGAATTACAACCCTCCTTTCCCGCGTCGACTGTCGAGCATCCCACGAGAGCCAAGCTGAGTTGGGGGGGGTTAGATGTGCTTGAGACAATCTGACAGCGCCAGGCGAGTCGACAGTTATGACTTTGCCCTGGCTATTTGGTGACTATCTCTGAAAAAGGTTCGAGCGTATGCAGATATGTGATGGGAGGTGTGAAGGAATTCATACCTTTGATAGGAGACTGGGCTGAGAAGTGCTTGAGATCACTTACGTCTACACAGCAGCTTCTTGGGCTTTGTGGGATGGTCCGCCTACAAAATGTTCCTTTTGTCTCAGCATCTTAAAGATCTACGAGCGTCAGATGATTGGGAACATCTATTCGTTTAGCAGAAAGCACAGCGTTGTGTCTTGTGACGAGAAAGAGCTATCGCACTTGCAATCAAGTGCCGCCGGGCTTACTTGTTCAAGATGACCAACTTTGCTGGGGACACGAGAAGCTCATTCTGGTTCTGCGACTCACTGAGCCCATCCTCTACGTAACAATCGTTCTGATACCCTTACTCTCTTTCGTCGGGAACGGAACACACAAGTCAAATGCGATGTCCACATCTCGCTCTCTAGTCGTCTCGAAGAGAGCTATAGTTGCCTTCTCCTGCTTGGCCGCTCTATTAGAGAGACTATGCTCTACAGATGCCGGCAGAATGACGGTGCTCAAATCCCACGACTGGAAGCCCCGCCCGCGGGACTGAATGCCGAACGAGAAAAGGCTTTGTCCTTGGAGATCGAGGGACGAGGAGCTTTCGACGGGGTTCGTCAGTTTTGTTGGGCGTATCTGCAGGGCAACAATCGCCCGAGGTGGCGGCTGCATCGCGAGAGACATCGTCAGGCTTGAACCCTGTTGGAAAGCACTGGTTCAAGGACTTTCCTGGTGAAAATGTGAGTTCTATGACTGCAGAGTCAGGTCGTAGAGGGAATTTTATGCGTGTTTGTCTGTTGCTATGTTCAGTATTTGGTCGTCGTTCAATTCTTCTTGAATGTTTTTGCTAGCATTTCGACCAGAAATCATATTACAGCCAGCGAACATGTTCAACGTGCATACTATCATCAACCTGGCACAACTTAGTTGAGCTTATGCTTCCAACGCTTACCCATCGAGATATGTAGAGCACTGTGACTTTCTCGCACTCGGATAACAGACATGCAGCGAATGAAAATACTTGACATATCTTCGATCTGATAACGTCAATATATCACTTGTCTGACAGTCATCGGAGAGGATTAGTACGCTCGGTTGGCGGTGGTGTTTTTGATATCGACCGCCCCATCAAGGACTCAGACCTTAACGTCCTGGGAACTACAGGCTAGCAGGGTTTCAGATTGCAATTTCATCTTCTGGGTATCATTAGCTGGTGATGAGGGTTCTGCTACTCTCCAGTCGCATATCACCATCTGGATGTTCTTTCGCAAAAATGAAAACGAAGCCGCAACCGGAGGCCTTAATATTCGCCACGATGTTGCTCCGCCTACACAGCATTCATAGTCTCATCTCTGACACGACTACCATGTTCCGTTCGCTTACTCCGATTCCGAGCGTTCTGATCCTTGATACTGTCATTGACATCCACAGGATCATTTCCCTGACTAGGTGGATTAACACGTGTGTTGCTAGATGTGCCCGGCTCGCCAAAGTCCCATTTTCCAGAGGTGGTAATATTGGTCGCTATTCTGAACTCCCTGCGATCTGCGTCTGGTTTCGATAGAAGCGGTTGGGTATGACTTGTTTGGGCTCTTGGCGGAGGGGGAGATGTTGGGGGACTTGGAGATCTCGGTATGCCGAGCCGTGGAGAAGAGCCACTTGATGTTGCAGATGAGTTGGTCGAGGAGCCAGAGCGTGTTACTGGTTGTCTGTCTCGCTCTTGATAAGATTGCCTAGCATGCTCTTCAAGCTGCTCTGTAGCGATGATACAGGCCTTAGTGGCCACTCTCTCGTTGACAGAGCTTCGCTCTCGTCCTTGGATATGATATGCAATGTTGCTGGATGCTATGATGGCGCCTTTTACGGTACTTCTCTCGTTGCGAAGCTGAGATTTCAGCAATTTCCTTTAGATGCTGTTAATAATGTCCCTTTTCACCTCTCGAACTCCAAAAGAGTACATGTCTGCTTACACTTGGTGTCGAAGCTCACTAATCTGTGCCTTGTCCTTCTTCTGTCTCTTTGCCGCCGCGAGTTGTTCAATTTCGACCCTCAAATGAATCATAGTGATATACAAAGTAATAGTCGATTTTGACGATTCCAGCTTTGATCTCAACAGCAAGAGGTCCGTCCTCCGGAACAACCATCTCAACCGCGCAACCGCCTTTGTAATCAGATTGGTATTTCCTGGATCGCGAAGCGGTCCGAGATCTTCTAGAAACTTTTCAAATTCCCTCACATTCTCATCCGCCTGATGGACGAGGTCCTTATAAATATTCAAGACATCGAGTACTTCAGACACTAAAGGTATCAAACGCTGAATTGTAACCTAGAGAGAACGCAGGAGTATCGAAAACATGCTCATCTCCTTCGCAACGGCATTAACCTCCCTTCCCGCATGCGCTAGCGTTCTGGCGCAACACCTGAGCTTATGACTGACCGTGTAAAGCGCGCCAGCATCTGCGATGATAGACGCTGCAACGGAGAGCGGATCCATTTTATTTTCATACCGTTCCTAAGTGACCGAAATTATGATGATGCTCAATCGCAGCGTTACGTCCCTCCTCAGGTTAGAAGGTGGGGCAACAAGGCCGAGATGTTCACAGCTCGCTCGTTCCTGGTTCGTCAATGCAGGTCGACGTTCTTGTCACGTCAGGATCTATAAGGTTGTGCGATTGAATGATACCCAGAGCATCAATGAGCATGCAATTGTTCGATTTCAGCGTCAGATATTCGAATTAGCTCTCGTGCATTGCCTACCCTCTTGACCAACCATCGTCTATATAAAACAAGTTTTCTCGCCTCACAGCATGTCCTGAAACCTTTGCGGTCAATACATCTTAAACCCTAGGCCCCCAAGATTTTTTGAGATCCTGATAATCTGACCTTCAGAGCAGGCCCAAAAAAATTCCGGTAGTGTTTAGTGCGATGAAGCTCCAGCACCGTGCCCCGAGCCGTGAGCCATTGACAGACAAAGACCGAAAAGCAGGTTTGTTTCGGCTTGACAAACATGTACTCGAACTCTTTCAAGTTGTGAACAAGACCGTAGATCCACCATGCCTTGCTAGGCAACCGATTTTGGACTCTCTGACGGCCTGTTTTTCGCGCTCGCCCAATCAGTGCAATGTGCGAAGCGATTCCTCATCTGCACTGCGAGGAAACGGTAACATGCGCTTGTCCGCAGGGCTGTTGGAAATCATGCTGCAGCACCATAGTGTGTTGTAGCTACCCCGAGGTGGCAATCAGCATGGGCTTCATGGTATATGTAGCTACATACACTCCATAGACAATCAATCCATAACCTTTCTTCTGGCGTAGCTGCTGCTTGAGTACTTCACCCATGCCTTCGATTGAGCTCTAGAACTAGGAATCTCCACCAGCGATTGGAATTCATGTCGTTATTCGATTTTGGAGGATGAGCGTGTCTCTCACACAGACAGTCATTAGTCTTTGCTTTCATACCCACAGCAGATTCGTCACGAAACCCTGGGAACGGACGGATTATACTCCACAAGAGCGAAAACTGCCGACTCTATCAATTCAACCGCTTTTCGCCTCCAACATCATTAGCTTCTGTGACAACAATCATACCGTCATCGAAATCACGCCTGGCAATTCTATCCTAATCCTCTGCAACTCCTTTCTGTATGGCGGCGAAGTGACCCCCTCGGGCTCTGTCAGTGCGCTATACTACAATCTTACAGGCAATGTGCAAAAGGGATGGGGTGCCCAAGCAGACTTCCTCCTGTGTGCGCCATCTACGTTGCGTTTCCGATTGATCTTTTTGGCAGGCGGTAGTCTCCGTCTGCCAATCCCTCGCATAAGAGTACCTAACATTCACGCCACTTTCGTTGCATATGCTTCTTTGCTGCACATGCTGTTCTCGTACGCGAACTGACGGCCGACTCGATCACGTAAAAGACGCAATCTGTGCCATCATACCCTATGTGAGAAGCACGAATTCCATTGAGGTCGCTCATGAGAGTGCGCAGAATGTGTTAGATGCCGCTGGCGCTGTCATGCAAATATGTATAAACGAAACCGCCATAGGGAGGTAAATAGTTTGGGTATACCTTCTGGCACTGTCAAGTAGTAGAAAACTGACGCAATGCTAGGTAGGGATAACATGCTAAGAGTAGACGTGTTCCGGGCCCGAAATGGAGTGGTGGTGGTGTGGTGCACTACGAGTATGCCCGCTAGTGTTCCACAGAGTGTGATGTAGTACGAGGTCGGTATCACAGCACGTGCTGTAGTGTCCCCTCGAGGAGGGTAACATTCAAAGCTCAAGGCTGATCAATGGACCGCAAACGAGGACTAGCTTTTGTACTCTCGTCTCATAGCAACGAGTGCTTGAAAATTTGCTTCATAGACATCTGGGCCATGGAAAATCCGAAAGGTGATACTCGACACCAAAGGAGAAGCCTCTGAAGAACCTTTACCCAATTGACGGCAAGTCTGCGCTGGCGGTGTTTACTCCATTCATGTAAAATTGTGTGACTGAGTTGACGCTCTTCCTTCTCGTTGCATCATTGTACCGACATTGTTTCAAGCCACTCGGCTGGACTTTGATGAAATTCAATGATAAAATCCTTGAAAACTTGTAGATTCATGAAACGAAGACATAGAAACTTATGGCAGTGTCTCAGACTCTAGGAAACAGAATAAGTACTAGGTCGCCCTTTCGAGTCGTGAGGGTTTCAATAGACACCATGATTTGTTTGATTCAGGGGAAGGGGGCTAGGCTTGGCATTGCTCGGGTGATCTTTTATGATGACTAAGTACAATTGCGTACGCGCGTCGCCGATCTTCATTTCCGACCATCCGCCACTCATCAGGCTAAAGACTTTATCCTTATTATGATTTATCCTATGACTGCTATCAGATACTTCTCATTTTTGCATCATTTTGCATCATGTTTATTACCTATTCATAAGACTTCATACATGTTATACTGTAGATGTTTTCCTCGCCTGACATCCTGCATCCGAAGCATCCCTCTATCTACCTTAGCCAGATGAAGGCTCAATGCCCACACAGCTGCCGAACACGTCAGCCTCCCACGTTCCGGCCCGATGGTGGGGCCCCTTTTATGCATCTCCTCCACGACTAGTTTCTTAGGAGTTAGGATGGTGCTAAAAGGGAAATTAATGATTGTTTAGTACAGTACTACAGTACTACTACTACTACTACTACTACTACTACAGTACTACTACCAATGGCGGTACTCGCATAGTCTAGTCAAACTACTTTACAGCCCGCGGGAGATCCGAGCGAGAAAAGAAAATCAGGAAGCGTGAACCGGGGATTCAAGAGGCACGCGGCCATGCCTATCCAACCAAACGAACCGCAACACACCGCTTTCAAACATTTACGTCGGCTGAGTCCTACGCCGTGCACAGCGTGTAAATACCAATCAATCACTTTTTGGGGGGAATGTCATCCGGGGAAGCATTTTGCCCAAAACTTCGGGCCCGATCGCTCAATGAAATCCCGGGTGGAGAGGCAGACAAAGTCACATGGTCATCGTGCGAGCATGCATCCGTGGAAGAACCCAGGTTCGTCATGTTGTGTCAACACAAGATCATTACTCAACAAGAATCCGTCTCCAGTCTTTCTCACGGCTAGGATGAAGCATGAGACGAGAAGTGCTCGAGAAAGGCTCAGCTGAGACTCTCTTGCCCCTCCAGAGGAGGTAGGAAGACCAGCCCGAAGACACTCGATACACTGCCTCAAGATATGTTTCACGTCGCGAGTCTTTATGCGCACACGCCACACCACTTCGGTTGATGGAACAAAGAAATCGTCCCGTTTGCTTTCCCACCATCGCATCGAGATGATGCTGACAAGAGCTGTGAGGCGGTGATGATGTGGACCCATTCTTCAAAAATGACTCGCCGCATCCCGTTGGTGGATATTCGGGAAGTTGGGAAGCGGTAAAAGGAACAAAGTCTATCCTCTCGCCGAACTCGCGCTAGGTCAACCAACATACGGTAATAATAATCCCAAATCTTACATTCCTTAGTACTAAAAAGATCAACATGCCCACCTCTCCCGCGCTCTTTTTTTTCCCCTCTGCTTCTTCTTCGAATCTTCTTCCTCCCTCTTGCGTTGTTGAATTGCAAACCCACATTCATTGTTACCGACTTACCAACATTCACTCCTTTACAATTGCAATCAACTCGTGAGGCTAGCCCTCCGCTTAGCTCATTTCCGAATTCAGCTCCCAGCCACCGCTTTCAGCAAATCCATCAGAATCAGCAAAATAAATCAAAATGCGATCCGTATACTCGACCCTCCTTTTCCTCGCGGCCGCCACCCCATTGCTCGCCGACGAAAAGTCCGACTGCCTGGCTCAAGCATCCCCCACCAATGGAGTCATCTACTGGACCGGCCTTGAAGTACCTCTCGACAAGGCCGATAGCTACGGCAACATAATGCCCGGCAGCAACAGCACCACCAAAGGCTGCATGCAGATAGGACAATGGGACGGACAGATTCGCATAGGCGAGCAACCTCACCCGGTAAAAGACACCAGAACCATTCTCGAAACGAACCCCGTCGGCAAATGGGCCAGCTACGACGTCAGCTACATCTCCGGCTTCTCCATCGCCCTCACTTGCCTAGACACTGTTCAACAGACGCTCACCGGCGACAACACGGACCTCTTCGACGTGCCCGGCGCCTCGTGCGAAGACAAGAACGGATACACTTGCGTCGGCCCCGTGGGTGCATGGGGAGTTCGCGCTAGCGAAATGAGCGAAACCTCCTGCTGGAACTGCAACCCGCCCAACGCATTCTTCGCGCCTGTAGCAGGCGCAGCATATGTCTTCCCCGACGACAACGGGTCCGTCATCGCCGCCAGCTCCAATGCCATCCACTGCTGCGTCGATAAGGATTGCCCATGGACGAACCCCAAGGCCGGCACGACCAAACACGGTACCTGCACCTGCAACTCCGGCGCCGACAAGCGTGATGCGACGCCCGAGACCAAGCCCAACACCAAGCGACATCTCCATAGCCATGGCAAACACAAGGTTCGAGGCCTCAGTGAGATTGTCTAAGCAAATCTTGCGGCGCGATTGCTGGCCGTCTTCCGCTGGCGCCTTTCCATTCTGTATAATTGCATTTTAAGAATCTCGGGAGGACCCATCCCATCTTCAAAGATGTGGATTCATCATGGATTGGATATCTGGGCAAGGGTGTAGAGGCATCACGTGTCTCTTGGTGCATGAGCGGGGCTGACTACCAACGCCCAATGTAAAAAATCGGCCACATCAACACTCATCGCCTACGGTCGCTAACATTGTGGATATTTCAAATCATACCAATCAATCAATCTAGATGAGCATTTTCCTAGTGTACGAAATCAAACCTATCTCTATCAGACACCAACATCGCCCACGAAGCCCCCGCGCCCTCTAATTTGCCAACCTCGTATCCGTGCCCCCCATCACCCCCCCATCCATCGCACCTCATCAAAATCCTAACCTCCACCACCTCCTTCCTCCCCTCACACCTTCACACAAACCCCTTCCCACCACGCGCATCCAGCCATCGCTCTCCCGACGCAACCACGCCCGCAGTCCACATAAAGTTGTTTCGTTCCATCTAGCTCCCACCCCACCCCAACACCAAAAATCGAGCAAAACAACGCGAGCCTCCTGAAACCGGGTCTCCTGATCTTGGCACCGTTTGGCGCGCCGAGATCCAACTTACTGGAGTAACCATCAATCAATCAATCTGCGTCATCGCTGGCGGCTATCTGTTACGACTGTTATCTATTATTGTTGTTGAAGGGTATGGATGGAAGGAAAGACGGTGCCTTGCGTCGTGCATACGGAAATCAGTCACGAGGGGTAGAGAGCCTGCGATACTTTCCGGGTCGACGGCCCAGGATAGATAGCGGCGTGTCCAAGAAGCCCGAGACCGAGTGCAGGCAGTCTTTGCTCGTATTGTGGGGGGCCCCCCAAAAAAGAAGGAGGGGTTTTTCCCCCCCCCCCCTTTTCCCCTTTTTTTTTTAAAAAAAATAAAAAAAATGTTGAGTTAGAGAGAGAGAGAGAGGAAGGCACAGGAGTAGTCTGCTATCCCACACTTATGTACATTTTATTTTTCCACCTGTGCCATGTCAAGCAAGGAAACGCATCAGGCGTATCAGAGATTCAAATGGTTCGTTTATCATCACGGCGTGAGTCAAGCACAGTACTCTCCAGTGTACCAAACCCTCCTCCTACCCCACAATTTCCCTTGAACTCTTCGCCGAAATCTCTCCTCCCCTCCCCTCCCCCTCCCCCCCCCTTCAACCCTCATACGACCCTCAACCCGACATAAATCCCCAACGACCCCGCCACATCCCACCACCCCTGATCATAAACCCCCGCGTAGCCCCTCCTCGAAACCCTATGCATGAGCGCCGCGAAGTCGCGCACGAACTCCCAACTGATGGCCTCGGTCGCGCCGTCGTTGACGACGAAGCTGAGCTGGAAGGGGCCCCAGCGGACGACGAGGTCGGGCTGCGGGGGCGGGAGGTTGGGCATCCAGGAAGTGATGCAGCGGACGTGGATGTCGGCGTAGAAGTCGGACAGGAGGGCGGCGGCGGTGGCGGTGGGGATGAGCATGGTGAGGTGGGCGGTGCGTTCGAGGTAGAGGCCGTGGAGGGAGAAGGGGGGGCGGCGCTTTTGGAGGGCCGGGTCTGTGGTGGTGAGGGCGGAGGTGGTGGAGATTGGGGTGGCGGTGGATTGGGTTAGCAGGCTGGAGAGGAGGAGGATCAGGGTGGTTAGCCCGTGCAGTGGACATAGGATGCGCATCGTTGTGGATGATTTGGAGACGCCGGCTTCGATGGCTGTTCTCTATCATTCATTTCAAAATATACAAACGGTCGTCATCCTCCGGCTCTCCGAAATGCTTTTCCCTTTGCTCTCAGCCCTGCAGACTGTTTCCAGAAGACGGATAAGCAGTGCTCTTCTATGCCTGGCCAAAAGTGCGCAGAAGGCTCGGGCATTGTTGCTTCTCGATCTGATCGCAGAGCAGGTGTCAACCTCCTTCCGCGCTTGCAAGAATCGCTCGTGCGTGTGCTAATTAAGGATTAAAACCACTTTTGCCCTTTGCGCTCGTGCGTCCCCGCAGCATTTGTATGCAGGTGCGCACGGGGACTAGCTATTTGCCGCATTTTAGTCTCCATAGGTACACGAAACTGTTGAGGTAGTATGATGATAGAAGTCATCTCTTCCGAGGGGCAGCATAGTGATCGTGTTACAATGTCTTGCGGAAAGGAGTGACGAGCTTTGAGTTGACGTGGCGCTTTAAAGAAGAGAATGATCATTGTAAGAAGCGACATCGATCTGAGGGGCTCTGAAGAAGCGATTGATGCAGCACTGTCAGGTTTTGTCCCAGGGTGCTCAAGCGTTTGCAACAGTACTGACGATGGGGACGAATCATGGATGGGACTTATCCAAGCCAAAACACAGAGCAACTTTTGTAGCTCAGTCATTCTCAAATCAGTCCGTTACTTCGTGAATGTTTCACACCTTTCAAGCATCCTCCAGACCCTGATAAAGAGGCACGCCCCATCCACCACTGGGATTGTTGAACCTCTTCTGGTACTTCTTCCCTAGCCTCTCAATCGTAGTATAATCCTCCTCTTCCAGCTTACACTTCGCCGACCCAAAGTTTTCCTTGATTCTGTCCGCATGCTGGCTCTTGGGTATGACACTACAACCCCTGTCCATGCCCCAAGCCAAAGCCACCTGTGCATTTGTACATCCACGCTCTTTGGCAATCTCCGTGATGTCCTCATTCACCAGCAGCGATGGCGGCGTATCCTTGCTTTCACCGGGTGAGCCGTATATAGGGTTTAAGTTTGCGAGGGGAGAGTAGGCGGTGACGGCGATGCCGTTGTCTTTGTGCCATTGTACGAAGTCAACTTGCTGGAGATACGGATGGAGCTCGAATTGGTGGACGGCGGGCTTAATGGTCGTTTGTTCGAGGAGCTGGTGCAATTGGTGGGGAGAGAAGTTGGAGACTCCGATGTGTCGGACTTTGCGGGTGTCAAGAAGCTTTTCCATGGCCATCCAGGTCTGCATGAGTTAGTCTCAGCACTGTGTGTAGAGGCTTGCGAGGGCGCTGGGACCCACGTCAACGTAGTCAATGTAGTTCTTTCCGTCAGAAGACGCCACAGGCCAGTGCATTAGGTAGAGGTCGAGATATTCCAGGCCCAAGTCGCTCAGCGTATTGTCGAGGCCTTGCTCAACCTGATCAGTCTGGTGGCTACACCAGTACAACGCGTCAGAGCCGGTGTATGCTAGGAAGCCACGCAGTAGACTTTGGGAGCGTACTGATCATTCCACAACTTGGATGTAATCCAGACACTGGATCGATCCAGCCCTATCGTTTCCAATCCATCTTTGATACCATTGCCCACCTCTTTCTCGTTGCCGTAAATTGCTGCACAGTCCAGATGTCTGTATCCAGTCTGAAGTGCAATAGAGACTGCCTCTGAGGCATTAGAATTGTCGAGGTTCCATGTTCCGAAGCCCAGCAAGGGGATGGAAGCGATAGAGGGAGGATTGCTGGGGCTGAAAGGAATTTGCTCCTGGGCACGGGACAGCCCGAACAGCGCCAGCGCAAGAGAGGAGAGCTTCGCAATGGATACCATTGCCATGATCATTTATTCAAGGTCCGTCAACTGAAAAAGAGTTGATGGAGTTGTATTCGTAGATGCTGGACTCCATTACAGCAATGAGATTGATACATCTCCGCATTTTGGTGATGTCATCTTCATGCGGGTCTAGGTACAGCGCCGGCCATCCGATCGACGGAGGACTTGCACAATATGATCTCGTAGTCCTCAAGCCGGCTACATTTATAACGGCTGTCAGGAATCAAATGGTTGCAAAGCTCGAATAAGTGGATGATGAATTAAGAGGACTTGGCCAAGGAGCACCCCAGGCAACGCCGAACGCCTACCACCATCCCTTAATCCCCTCCAAGTCTCAGGCTTTCTCTCGGCCTCTCTCACCGTACCTGAGGGTACTGTCAGCGAAAATTCCATGACAAGTATCAAACGTGTTGGGTTCTATCGTGGATAGCGTCTCATTCGCTACACCAGATCATAGCAAGGATGCACGCCCTTTCAACGCTATGTACCAAAGGCCTACAAAGTGCAGGATAAGCAAAAGAAGCGAATGTCTGTCAGAAAGTTGAAATATGCAGGATGGCACATACAGCCGATGGAGCTACACTCGCCTCACCGGATTGCACGGAGGATGTATGTTCGTGCAAGGCTACACGCAATGGGCGCCCAAGATCACGAGGCGCAATGCAAGAGCTAGCACCTGGGACCCTCGCAATGAGAATACATACTCAATAGACCGCCTGACCAGGTCAAGCTATTTCTCCGAGGATACTCCCGCTCAAATACGGCACGATCAATGGATCCTCCCCTCTTTCCGCTCTCCAGAAATTCGAGCAACGAATCGTCTCATTATCTACCAACCACGCCCAGTTGGTCACGAATGCCTGCGATATCTCCCACGCTGCCCAACACAACATCAGCTATGCCGCGATTAGAGGGAAAGAGATACTACATACCGAGTGCATTCCACGGCTGAGAGCCCCAAATCGTGAAGGAGCCACGATGCATATCATAGCAGAGCCGATCCTCCTGCTCATCGGTCATGACAGAAAGAAGGACATTATCCCTCAGCGATGGAGGAGTAATCATATCGAGGTATGGATGATGCGGCGTCGACAATTGCAGTGGCGTTGGGCTAAGATCATCCGGCGCACATCCTGGATACGGAGTCGATGTTGTCCATGGCGAGAGGGCATAGTCATCTGCGAGGAGAACTGGGTCTATGGCCAGCAAATTTGCATTCTGGAAGAAAGCTCGAAGCACAGAGTATTCCATGAGGCTGATGTAACGATGCTCGGCAAGCCCGGGGGTTGCGAAAATCCCTTGAATCGTCTTGTCAACATCATCTTGAAAAGGTGGTGAGTTGCTGGACGATGCGGCCCAGATTTCTTTGAGGACCTGGCTTGGCGTATCTGTCCAAAGGCTTTCGCTCTCGCTCCTCGTAGCCGCCTCCTCCGAGATTGCCGCTATTTCACTTGTCTCTTTTGAGTGTTTAGGCCCATGCCTTTTCTTTGTCTTGTCCTTGGGTCCATGCGTTCCTGATTGGAGAGTCAATTACAAACTTGGCGAAAAACAAAACGCCGTGCGACGAAACATACGGCTCTTCCTCTTCGCTAGCCTGTCCTGTATCCTCTTCCTAAGTGCCTTGTCTTCTACTTTAGTCCAATCATCTTTCTCGCTTTTGCTGTACTTTAGTCTGACCTGCAGATCCGTCGTTCCATTTGCGTCTCCATTTCCCGGAATGGTGGTCATAGTCGCTATGGCTTTTGCAAGAAGAATTACGGTAAGAGGGCAAGCCACAATGCTCTTGGAGATGTCAGAGATGTCAGAAATTAGCGTCCACCCCTGCCAAGACTCCCAGACCGAGTCCAGACAAAACACCAGACATACGTACATACGTTCTCGTGTTGGCACTTGCTCTGACTTTCTGACATTGATATCTACTTTGATACGTCCGACTCTGATTTTTTGATAATAGCCTTGCTCATAGTGCGGGGTTTCGAGATTTCTGCAGTCTGTTGGTAGAATATATAGCCTCTACATTACCCTGGGATGCTCACATTACCTTGTCATCAATTTCCACTGTGCTAGCATTTGAGATCTATCAAGATTTGTTGTATTTCGTTCCTTACGCTTCCCTATATCATCATGCCTTCTGAGAAGTCCACTCCTTACCATGCTCGAGACAATCCCAATCTAAGCGGCTACGTCGCTATTGTCACGGGAGTTGCGCCGTTCTTTTAGGAGCCCTCAAGCATAGTCCCTAACGACAAGTGCTCACCCTTAAAATTGCAGGTAATTCAGGGATCGGATACGAAACCACACTCCAGCCCGCTCTTCATGGCGCCCGAGTCTACATCGCCGGCCGCTCGCCCGACAGAGTTGAAAAGGCCATAGAGCAGATGAAAGCATCCAGCGCGAAGCCACTCGACCTCCATATGCTCGAGATGGTTCTGCAAAGCCTGGGGAGCGTGAGGGCAGGGGCAGAAGCTTTCAGAAGCACGAGACGCGACTGGATCTTTTGATCAATAATGCTGGCGTACGAAAACTTTGACTTCTGTCAAGGCCTTGCTCGGGTCACAAGATATCCGAGCCTGCTGACAACCTCGCCTAGTGCAGATCATGGCAGTCCCCTTCCAACTCACGACCGACGGCTTTGAAAGACAATGGCAAACCAATCACCTTGCCCCCTTCTTGCTTACCAAAACACTGCTCCCGATCGTCGAGTCCACGGCCGTCTCTAGCAGTTCCAAGAACCGTGTCCGCATCATCAACGTCGCAGATGACGCAGCGCTGCTACCACCTGCTCCCAAGCTACTGGACCTGGCACGTCCAAACCTGGAATATGTTACCGGTGCGATGAACGGATGGTACGTCACGCATCTCTTTCAACACCCAAATATCAGAAAGATATCAAGTGCCCAGACCATGCCATCCCCCCTCTAACTCTTCACCAGGAAACGTTACGGCCACTCCAAAATTGCCTCCATCACCCACGCGCGCGCCCTACACGACCGCCTTCACGGCAAGGGCATATCGGTCCACCCCGGCATCGTGGCGACAAACTTGCAGAGCGCGGACCCCAGCCTCTTCGGCAGTTTTGTGCGGCATATGGTACGCTGGTACGTAAAACCTTGCTTGCCTGCCTTTCCTTTCCCGACTCGTTTCCTACACCACAGCCGCCAGAAGTTCTGGGGGAACAAACCATTCTCTCCGTCATCGTTATCATCGACCTTTATGTCTCTTCCTAGACCCTACCCATCTTATATCTCGGCGTGAGTCAAGAAAAGAAGAACGGAAGGAAGCGGACTCGGAAACCCGCGTCTAGGGGTCTCATGCCGGGCACGCTTTCCGTAGCCGACGGGGCGACGTCGACGCTATTCTGCGATACCGGGGAGGAGGTGGGGGATATGTTGCGCCGTTCGGGAAGCTGGGCAAGAGGGCCGATTGGTGGAATCAGGATGAGGGGCTTGTGGAGGAGCTGTGGGTGGAGAGCGAGGGGATGATCAAGGGGGCTGGGTTCTGATAGTGTGTGAAGTATTATACTAAGCGGCATGCATCGTTAGTGGAATAGCGAGATTATTTAAAGTGCCTCGTTGTTGTACTATTACATTAAACAGACCCAACACTACCTACGACATACACTAACCACATGCGACCTAAAACGCATGATATCCCCTCCCTCCATCCCCGCCCCCCTAATCTTCCCTCACCACCGAACCCATCATCAACCCCCTCCTCACCTCCTCCACCCACTCCACTGCAAATGCTCCTCCACCCTCTCCCTCGCCCCCTCATCGCTACAATGACTAACCAGCTGCCTCATCCCCACCTCCCCCTCCCCATCACTCCCACTCCTCAACAGATAACTCTCGTTCCACGCCCTGGGCGCTCTCCAACTGCTCCTGGGCAACGGGGCCCGCGGCGCACCCCCGGCCCGGGGCGTGCCGTCCGGCGACGGGCGCAGGTAGAGGCTCCACGTGTGGGCCAGCTTGGGCGAGACGTGGTTGACGAAGGCGGCGGTGGCGGGCATGCAGCCGCAGAGGATGGCGGAGGCGAGTTCGCCGGCGGACCAGAGGGCCGGGGGTTGGAGGTAGTACGTCTTGTCCGGGTTGCCGGTGTGGAAGGAGACGACGAAGCGCATGATGGAGGCGATGCAGGTGCTGGTGCGCGGGTGAGTTCATGTTAGCTGGCTGGCTGGCTAGCGACATGTGCTCGCGACGTGTTCCTACAGGATCAGGACATGGGGGTGGGAGAGGAGGGGAGCGTACAATAAGCCGACGGCAAAGATGGCCAAGACGCCGACCTTGCGCCTGGTTGGGAGTTTGAGTTTTGAGATGCGGTAGAGTGGGAGGAGGAGGATTGAGAAGTCGGAGACGACGTTGATCGCGGAAGCGGCGATGAAGGCGGCTTGCAGGTTGACACAGCCGCCTTTGAGGGTGGGATTCCAGATGCGAGCGCGGGGTACGCATTGGAAGATGCTGGCGAAGAGGTAGGGGAAGTAGAAAGCGAGGTTGGCCCAGATGAGGATGTGGATGAGATAGTGGGTTTTGCCGGTCCCGGCTGTGTCGAAAAGGCGGCGATACATGAGGAGGATGGAAAGTTTGGCGAGGAAGATGGCAGGGCTGTAGAGGATTTCGGTTGTGTTTGCTAGCTAAAATGGCTCTTGAGTCACGGCTTCGCAGCATGTAATGTGCATCACGAGAGTGGCGGAAATTTACCTTTGCGAATTCTAAAACACGACCCAGTGGTACATCCCATTGATGGACTCCGCCGCCATATTCGGCGGTGAAGTACATCGATGTACAGTACCCCACCAGGAATGCCCACGCCGTCGCGGAGGCATCTATGAAGGGTAAGCTACTCGCATGATTGATTTGCCATTCTAGATCTGTACGTACAGTCCGCCCATCCATGCGACTTGAGAATGAAGAACACTGTGCACAGTCTTATCCAGACGAATGGTGTGCTCACAGCCAAACAAATTGGCAATGTGATGTACACCCAGCGAACTTGGGAGGGTGGATCCGTGAGGTTGGGGATCACTCCAAGTGGAGGTTGCAAGCCTGGCCCTTGGAGCAGAGCCTCTGCTGCCGCTGCCATTGCTTGCGCTGTAGCATTGGAACTTTGCGCCATGGTGATTCCGCGCACGATATTGCAGCGCCTGTAGGTGACAGGCGGGTCGGTAAGTGACCGTGGTTGGGCCAGTCATTCTTATAAGCGATTTGAAGGGCCAAGCCGGTCTCGTGCGGCGTATTCAGATCTGAGACGGTAGAGGACCTGCATGGCGTGTTGTGGAGAACGGTTAGTCCCCGATGCAGACATGTGTAAAAAAAAACACCATCCAATGAAAAGCATTCGACGCTGGCCTGTGCGCTGCATATGTGGAGCAAGCGTTCAAGCATTTCCAGTCGAAATACCAAGCCTCGAAAATGCATGAGGCTCATGGACTCCTAAGAGCTTGGATGTGTCTTCTGACATGCATCCTGCATGCGAGATGCAAGCTATGGAACTAGAGCGATCGTTTAGAAGTTAGATGAGGCGTAAAACATCGCGATAGGTCGAACGGGCTTGAGCTTCTGTCAAGAAACGGCAAAGCGTTCTTGACCCGGGGTGCATCAGTCTCTGTGTGCATCCGTGGCCAGGTTACCGGTGTCATGATGCCGAGCTGTAGACGGCTGACATGCAAGGGCCCTGTTCATGCGTCCGTCTTGTTTCAAGGACACGGCCGAATAAGACCGTACCACCGTCGACTCAGCGGGTAAGGTGTACGTCATGAAATGACAGATTCGAACGTCTTTGGCGCAGATGTAGGCGCTCCAATCACCTGCACTCATTGCGTATGGATGGCTTAGAGGCGCTTCTTCTAGAATCGAAAGATTTATGCAACCTCGAAGATTCTTTGTCAGAAAGGAACGCACGTTAAAAAGCAGAGTCGATCACGCGGTAACGAGTAAGTCTGACAACAGGAGCCTGCAAGTCAATAATGCCACGGAACGACTGGAAAAGGATTGCTTCAACAGTAATGATGAGCACATACGAATAAAAGCAGTGCTCTTGTATGATTCGGTCTTCTGGAAATACGAGGCAGATGCGCAGCTGTTGACATTAACCTGTTCGCAGAATATTTGATTCATCGTGTTCAACAAGAGACTTGCTGAACCGATCTATTTTACCAGGGACTCCGCCAGAACACACAGCCAGCTTGTACCTTTGGACATGCCGCGATAGACCACATCGTACGCTCTCTTATACACATTGAAAAAATCACCTTCAGAGGTCGAGCGCAAACGATGCTACCAAAGAGAGGATATTTTACCAAAGCCAGAAAATGTGGAAAATACGCGAAGCACGACGGACTGCGTGCTTCCTCTTTCCTCTTCTCCAGGGCGAAAGTAGACGCAGGCAGGCGCCTCAGCGCTATTTCCCAATCAGATTCAGCGGATGGATACGATGAAGATTATTGATCACCAAGCTTATACGAGCATGAATGAAGGTGGAAAGGACGGAGAGAGCAAGCATCTCCGAAGAAGGCCTTGCCAGCTACCTCTACGTACCGTATGTAACAATCTTTTTCAGATCTAAGATGGAAAGAAAAGCCGAGAGATCATCCGCTAATGACGCCAAGCTTCACTAGTCCCCCGGCTAGATCAGCCTCCAAGATACCTTAAGGTACATACGGTAAGTACCTAAGGTAGAAATTTCACCCAGTCACATTTACCCCGCAATTGATTTTTTCTTTTTCTCCTTTGAAACCGGAAGCCTCGGTCATTTATTATCATTAAAATTGTTTCCATTTTGTTATTATTTCCAAGGAATTGGAGCAAGGATCAAAACCAGATTTCTATACGGGGATACTTGGATTGCTGGAAATCAATATTGTGTCTCCCAGCTCAATCCTGGTTGCTGTATCTCCCATTTCCCAATGTTCATGCTTCCCAGTAAAAATATTCCAACCGCTTTGACGCTTATATCCACCAGTTCTAGAACCCGGTAGCACCATCACCGTTAGAGGAATCCTGCTTCCCCCTTACTATGACATTATTATTGAACCATTTAGGAAGGTGTGAGGCCTTATGTGATCTACTCTGCAGCCATGTTCTGCACGCATCTGCAACTGCCCGAATTTCTTTCTCTTCGGCCGTTGGTAGCGAGCGTTATCGGACGTTTTTTGTCATCGTCTACAGCCCTTACACCAATACAAGCCTTATCTCAGCACCTACTCCATGACTAACCCATCAAGTCATCTTTTTCAACCTTGCCATGCAGCTAAAGCCCACCCGCTGAGACTCGAATGCTTCAACCGGATTTCTACCTGCTCCTTTAGTAATTGGCATCGGCGACAACATGTGAACGGTTCGGATTGCTCGTCCAGGACCGAGAAACCAGGATGAAACCAGAATGATTCTGGAAGGTATCTATCCATCTCCCCTCACACCGCTGCAAATCCCTCGTGGTAAGGCTGCCTTGATGGAGACCTGCATGAGAATATGTGAGGGGCAATGCACCTCTCAATGCACACCTGCGTCCGGGGAGCTTTAAAGAGCTCACAGTCTCTCCGAGTCTCCTCCTTTTCTTCCCTCACAAGCCTGCCTCTCTCTAGGCTCTGTTCTTACACACAGCTCTTTCCTCAAACCTTGGACAGCTATTCAAGCAGTCAGCCAAGATGCGGGGACTCTTTTCAGCTCTCGCAGTGTCCGTCCTGATCCTCGACGTCTCTGCCGCCGTAAAGCACTCACATCTTCGCGACGTATCGCGCAGAGGCCAAGAAAAGGCCAAGAAGGCGGTGCGTGAGGCTACATATGAGAAATTGAGCGCACGTCGAACAAACACTTCCACGCCTGCCACTTCTCAATTCCTCACCAGCACTACAGCCAGTCAGTCCATGTCCTTTCGTCACAACTGACACATGACTCACAATTTCGCAGAGTACAAGGTCGACTCGCTGCCCGATGTCAACTTTGACATTGGTGAGATGTACTCCGGATTGATCCCAATCGATGAGAAGAACGCCTCTAGAGCGCTGTTCTTCATGTTCAATCCAACCATTGGAAAACCCGTCGACGAAATCACCATTTGGTTGAATGGTGGACCCGGTTGCAGTTCCTTGGAGGGCTTTTTCCAAGAAAACGGCAGGTTCCTATGGCAGCCGGGAACATTTGCGCCTGTGGAGAACCCATAGTATGACCTGTTCATCCTTTACACTCACGGATGGGACTAACATGGTCTAGCTCATGGGTGAACTTGACAAACATGCTATGGTATGTCTTACCGTCGCTTGAACCGATGTATTAGCGCAATGACTAACGTGGGATTTAGGGTTGAGCAACCCGTCGGCACAGGCTTTTCAATTGGCGAAGTCACCGCCACGACCGAGGAGGAGATTGCCCAAGACTTTATCAAGTTCTTCAAGAACTGGGAGAAGACCTTTGGGATCAAGAACTACAAGATATACGTGACTGGCGAAAGCTATGCGGGCCGCTACGTTCCATACATTTCTGCGGCGATGTTGGACCAGAAGGACAAGGAGTACTATGACCTCTCGGGTGAGTCGCCCTCCGCGGCCCATGGCAGTCTCCTACTTTGATCTCACGCGCGTCTACAGGAGCTCTAGTCTATGACCCTTGCATCGGCCAATTCGACTACACACAGGAGGAGGTCGCTGCCGTACCCTTCGTCATGGAGAACCAAGCCCTCTTTCAGTTCAATGCCTCGTTCCTCGCCCAACTCGAAAGTCTCGACAAGTCCTGCGGATACGCCGACCTCCGAGAAAAGTACCTCACATTCCCACCTCCCGGAAACCAGCCACCCGTATTCTTCAACTACACCAGCGAAGCCAACTGCGATGTCTTCGACATGATCGATGATGCCGCCTTGACAAACAACCCCTGCTTCGACATCTACGAAGTCAACCAGCAATGCCCCCTCCTCTGGGACGTCCTCTCCTTCCCCACCCAACTCGTCTACACCCCCGAAGGCGCTTCCACCTACTTCAACCGCTCGGACGTCAAAGCCGCCATCCACGCGCCCGCATACGTTGACTGGGCCGAATGCGCCGTCAACCCTGTCATCGTTGGTGGTGCCGAAGTCAACGGCTACTACACCGGCGGTCCCGAAGGCGAAGGCGACCTCTCGGCCGATCCAATCCAGCACGTCCTCCCCCAGGTGATCGAAGCCACGAATCGCGTGCTCGTCGGGAACGGAGACTTCGACATGATCATCATCACGAACGGCACCCTCATGTCCATTCAGAACATGACCTGGAATGGCAAGCTGGGCTTCCAAAGCCAGCCAGCTACACCAATCGTTATCACGGAGCCGGATTTGCAATACGAGGCTGTGTTCGCGGCAAATGGGGCCGCGGGCCTTGATGGGCCACAGGGAACAATGGGTGTGCAGCATTACGAGCGTGGGTTGATGTGGGCGGAGACCTTTTTGAGTGGGCATATGCAGCCAGAGTTCCAGCCGAGAGTGACGTATCGGCATCTGGAATGGGTGTTGGGAAGGATAAATGCGCTTTGAGACTTGTTTCGGTGGCCGATGTAGATACATCCGAATATGAAGATAAAAGCCAACTGCTGTAGATAGAAAAACCTTCTCACCTGAAGTCAGATGATTCCTCTTGACTTTGTGTTTTTCGACCTCTTTTTCTGTCTTACAACATCCCCAATCTACCTGTGAACAACCCTCCCAAAACAAATCAAAGGAGTGCACGGAGAGACGACGACCTCATAAGGTAATCATCCCGACTTCTATCCGCTACTGCAACCAAACACCCTACAAGAAAATCCCCAAGCTTTCCTCTCCCAAGTCTCCAACAAAGCACCCTCCGCCAAACTCAGACCTAATCACCAGACACAATACTCCCATTTCGTCTGCAGAAGGAGTACGAAAACGCACCATTGAGAAAAGAAAGTGATACCCCCCAACACACGATCATGGAAAACCCACACCCAACCTACCATCCGAACAGCCGACGCGACGCACCCATCGACCTAAAACCCGCTCCGGAGTGGGTAGTCGATGAATCCATACCTGGCACCGACGTGGCCGGGGTTTCCGATCCCTGCTTGAGCGCATCAGCTACCGATTCATACGCTCACGCCTTCCCATCCGATCCTCGGTTTCCAATGCGGGGCTCCTCACCACTGGCAGCCTTTTCTACCGCAGAGCCCAGGTATCCCGAACGCCCGCATCGACGACCGGATCTCCGTCACGCCGCGCCGTTCCGTTTCCTCAGAAAGAAAGCATCCAAGTCGGCCGTAGGGTCGAGGGACGGATTGCGGATGTTGGTCAATCAAGGGTGAGAGACACATTGATGGCCTGGGTTTCAATAGTAGGTGCCGCAAATACTATGGATTCCCATCGTACCCAGCGCCGCAGCCGGGGATGTTCCAATTCGGGTCGGATGCGTTCGTCATGACGGTATCGATGGCACGGGCGATGACCTGTTCATTAGCCTGCAGACACTGGAGCGCCGTGAGGAAGTGATCCGACTAGGTCGGAGCTGTCGGCAACGGGGTGACGGAGAAGTTGCCCGAGGCCGTGAAGGTCTGGAAGGTCGTCGGAGATCGCCGACGTCACGTTGTTTGTTTTAAAAATAGGTGGTGACGGTGCCCATGACGTTTGAGATCTGGTCGAGATGTATGATTTTGGGAGTCGGGAGTGCCCGAGGGGGAAGAGAGACTTGTCGACGGCGATGGCCTGCTGGGCGCCGTTGAGCACGGTGCCGATGTGCCGGGGAAGCGATTGGGTCTGGAAAGCTTGGTGAATGATTCACTCCCACTCCCACTGAGATTGCAAGAACCAATGAGCATTTGTGCGATTCCGGTGCTGACGTCAATGCGTCCGACAGCATTGGGGAGACTCCCCAACATACTGCCGCTGGACGTGGAGACTTGGTTGTTGTGAAAATCCTATGCGATTGGGGTGCAAATCTTGAATTTGCCATAGAAGAATATAACCTTCTTGATATGGGTGCCCCTTTACCACCGGTAGAGTCTAATACTTTTGCTCACTAGGCCCAACATTTCACGTTGCACAGACTCGGCGATCTGGAGCCATCGAAATACGTCAATAGTCCTTGGCCAGATTTTGCTTGTAGGGAACACCTGCTAACAGACATCACGGACATACCAAGCACGCCAAGCTTCACGCAAGCAATTCATCGATACTATCCATCAACGGGTCCCTCAGACCCTGAGAAGGCTGACGAGGATTCGTCCACACTCTATTGATCGGCGCTTCCCATGTCCAAAGAGACTCCCTATAGTTTTGTGCCACAATTGTCTCGGGGAATCCATCCATCTGAGAAGCTCCCGAGGTATCTCCAGCAGTCGTTGCGAACTCAAACGTCTCTTCAGGCCAACTCAGCTCAGTCTCCTCGGGGTTAGCGGTCACATCTTTTCTCTCAGGTGGCCAGTTTGTTTCCGCTGGGAAGGGGAAACTGGCGCGTTTGATGCTCAGGGAGAGCCCAACTACTGATGGCGGGTTTTGAGTAGGCTGATCAAGGCGTATGGCAGTCCAGGCAGTGAGACCGCGTGGTGCATGAAGGCAGCTATTTGGGATATCGTGTTGTTGGGCTGCAAGGTCGAATGTCATTGACCACGCATCTGTCCCGAGTGGAATGGTAGCACTACTACATTTGTGAAAGTCTGAGTTCTGGATTACCCACTGCGCGGCACCGATAGTAATGTTGACGCTACTACCGGCATCTGGCTTTCCGAAAGCCTTGGTCTTGCCTGCAAACTTGATAGTGAGGACGCAGGCGTCATATTCGCCGAGTAGGACATTGAGCGGTGTCAAGAATATTACGCTACGATCCACCCTTCCGGTAGCATTCCTCAAGTAAACATCTTTCGTGTCGAAATGGTGACGACTAAATACAGCTTGATATCTCCCACCAGTTCGTAATTCTTTATTCGTCCCAAGGTCGCCAGGACACATATTCGTGGCATCCTTGATCAGTGGGCTGTCTCTTGGCTTTCCCGTCAGCGTACGCAGGAATTTTGGATGAACCCTATAGAAATTGTTGTTGGGTTCTTGTTTCTCTAAGAGGGCGTTGACTTCAGCAGCGATAATGTAATTCCTAGAGTGTTTGGCAAACTCATGCGCCCAACATTCTACGGCAAGTGCATCACTTTCAAAAACAGCGTCTTGAGTCGAAGAGGTATGGCCAACGACTAAGCCAGTGTTGGCATGGAAGACTGGACCACCTGAATTACCTTCGGAGGCAGATCAGTAGGAACTCAGAGAAAGATTTTATAGACTTGCCTTCGAATTGATCCATGTCCGTTGTATATGTTCCATAGCCAGCAATGACGTGCGAGAAAGGATCGCCATCGTTGCCCACAAGGGAATGCCGCAGCACGTGGCCCCTTCCAGAGACTTTTAACTGCGTGCCCAAAGGGCTGCCGATGTTGTAGACTGGACTGCCAAAGCTCGGAGGTTTCGTTGATAGCCTTGCTTTCTTTAGGAGAGATAGCTGATTTGGTGTCCCTCTCAACTTAAGAATTGCAGAGTCCCATCTTCGCGCCCAACGAGCAGTCTCGACCGGGTCTGTTGGGGCGGGGGCAAGTCCGTGTGTGTCACAGAGTACAACTCTTTCGATATTAAAGACCTGTGATTCCGAAAACGTCTTCTTACTCACGACATCGTCAAGCCAATTGAAAACCACTCTCAGCTCCTCCAACTGACTGTCAAGTAACGCCTTGTCCAAGCAATGCCCCGCCGTTCCCACATACCCATGACCAAGATGATAAGCTGAGCAGAATTTTGGACCGATGATGTACTGACCGGCTGGTGCAAAACGGCTGACGAACTCAGTCGTACCGCTCGGCCACTCTAAAGCATCCATTTTGTCGGATAGGGTTTCGGCTTCGGACCCGACATAGGCTGTAGCTGGACTTGTGAAACTATTACAGAAACAGTGGCCCAAAGAGTCCTTGTCATATTGCACGCAATCTGCGAGGTTGTTTCGCCATATCGAGTTCAAGTCGGTTTGTTTGCGAGAAGGGTCGTACACCCAAGAGTGCCCCACTTGAGTCCAGCCAAATTCGGGCTTCAGGACCGTAATGATACAGGTAGCTTCCACGTTGCTGAATCAATTCAGTCGTGGAGTAAGCGGAGATACAGTCTTCAGGCTGATTGCTGCTTAGAAGAGGTAGGATAAGCAATGAGGACTCACTTCTCAACATTAGCAAGCCCGGTTCCAGAGATCGCCGCATCAGCCTCAATCCTGTGGTCAAACTCAAGCGTGTGTGGATCATCGAAAGACCTATCGGTGACGTTCCAATCATTGTAGCGCTCTACCAGAGGCATGAGTAGAGCAAATAACCCCCGTCAGCAACTGATTTTAGCCCATAGCAGACACTTCGGTCTTTGCCATGTTCGTTTTGGGTGAAATAAAGACGCTGCAGCGCAGAGTTGATGATGAGCTCAACCAATCTATGGTTGCTGCACCGTTCCCTCTCAGGTCCTGATACCTCGTGAAGGTGGTTACAACGGCTGTTGGAAGCAAGATGAAAAGATACACCGATTAAATGGTATCATGCCGCATTATCACCACGTAGTTCGCAGGCAAGATCCTGGGCGCCAAGACTCCTGGGCCAAGGTCTCGGAATAGAGTAACGACCTGCTTGAAGGGTTGCCCGGACAATACATCAGATCTGCTTCGGAAGTCCGCTTAACCTGAGCTCACTCTCGGGTCCATTGTCACTATCAGGCGCGACTGAGGTAAATTTCTGAAAATACATCTATGCGCTCCTAGAACATAGTTTTAGGGTCCTCGGTTATAGTACAGGGTCGCCTTCCGGCAGTACCAGTAGGGTTAGGGCTGCTACTAGCGCTGTCCGACTTTGCCGTGTGCCTTTGTACTTTACTCAAACTCCCTCATGGTTTAATCATTATTTCTCAATCTATTCATCATCCATTTCCGTGTATTCTATCGCTCAACAGCACCGTGGGCTCTACGCAACATAACAAGGCCTGCACTTGATGTGCGCTCTCTACTCGTCTGGAGCACGCCGTGGCTCACCCGCTTCATCGACTACTTGTAAAAGGACCTTGAGGCACTCCAAGGTTCGCCATGGCCTCTCGTGCAACAGACCGAGTAACTACTCCGCCGATGCCTGCCGAGTTCCTCCAGCAGCTCTGTAGGAACCTCGATCAGCCTAATCTCAAGAGATGTCGCCTTGTCTGCAAAAACTTCAGCTACGCTGCTGAGAATTCCCTGTTTCGCCAGGTTCTGTTGAAGCGCAAACTTGTGAAGGCCATGTGTTATAGCGGGATAATGCTCTGGAATGACCATGTCTGCATGGACTTCAAGAGTTGGTCCAAGTATTTCGTTGGGCAAGGTTTTCACTTACGTGATAAGACCACGATAAGTAAATTTGCGAAGAGTCTCACATCGGGAGAAGTTGAGATGCACTGTCAAAAAATTTGCGCTCACCATCACAGCGAACAGCTTATGCGGATTTTTGACATCGGGACTCAAGATGTGACTAGCGATCTCGCCAAGCTACCACAACTTGAAGAGGTTCGCTTCGCCCGCGGCGAAGATTTGCTTCACTGAGTGATGGGCTGGTCTATGATCAACTGAGCTCCATCGCGCGAGGTACTTTGGTAGAGCCCAGTCGGTTGGTGGATGTGAATTCCACGCAGGACAATTCACTGCCCTATTGACAGCTGCTCATACAGTCCAGAAACCGTTAAAAACGGTCAAAGCGCTTGGTATCCCTTGGAGTGTTTTACAGCAGTCCAAAGAAGTGGCAGATGTCACGGCTACAGCCACAAAAGCTTGTCAGTATCTTGCAGTCGAGATAAAATCTGACCAAGGCAAGGAGAATGAAGGAGCAAATCTCGCAAAGATGATTTCGAGCTCTCCATCCCTCCATACATTCGAGATATCCTTTGACTTCCTACCATTCGAAGATATAGAATGGACCATGAAACTGTCCGAGCTTTTTGAAGCTGGAGGTCACTGGCCGAGTCTTAAGCAGCTCAAGCTCCGGGCCTTGCAGGCAACGGATATCAGCCTGATAAAGTTATTGACGACTCATGCCACGACTTTACGATCTCTGGAGCTTGCTCATATCGGCCTCGAACACTATCAACTGGATGGAAAGGAGTGTCATGGCTCCTGGGTCGAGACTATTTTAATCCTGCAAAGTCACCTGTGTCTCCAAACCGTTCGTCTAGACGGTAACCTAAGCAACGGATGGAATGAAGCATGGTCAGCAGTGGACCCCAATAAATCAGACGATTGGCGTCTTGTGGGCGAGCGTCCGGAGGAAGTTCCATGTCTCAAGCATCGTGTGGAACGATATGTTGTGGAGGGCGGCACCTGTCCACTTCCTCTGCCACATCATGCTGAAGAATCAGGCGGCTGGGAATGCATAGATTTTGGTGAAGATTCGTCTTGGAGGTTTTGTTCGTAGCTCTTGCGATGAGCAGTGACCACGCCAGAGAGATATTGTAATCCCATAGACTGGCGCCTTCCGTGCAAAGTGGCTTGACAGAACTTCAAAAATGGTATACTTTGCAACGTATTGACTTTTGAACAACGCCGTCACGATAAACTCTGGCTGCAAACGGTTAAGGATGCCCAAGAAGAGCAAACGCGATACTAAACGATATTTGTAAGAGTTTCCGCTGTTGAGTTGCGGTGGATTGCAAACAGGGACTTTTTGATGTTCGGTTGGAACGCCTGAATTTTACACCCTGCCGATCCATGTAAGAGCAATCATCATGCCAGAGATATGGCACAACCAGTGCATCCGTCACTCTGCTGGTAAGGTATGCATGCCTTGTAACAGTATTTCGACAGAAGGCCCACCGTCGTCGGCTGCGTCTGTACACGGAGAATGCAAAATGGTGAAATTTCTTTTCCATTCATACAGTCTTGAGCCGCATTTCTCTACACAACCATCGATACTACGGTAGTGAAGGTGTCTGTTTTTTCGAAACGTACAAGTATTGTGAGTCTCCTTTCACTTCCGCGTTCAGAATTTCGACCAAACTCAGGCTTGTTTCTGTCTTGTGAAAGTATCCATGTCTGTAATCCGATGACTTTTCCTCCTAAGGTAATCACTCTTTGAGACTCAAGCTCCCACCGCCAATAATTGTCAACAATAACAGCCTAAGCAGCGAAATGGCCACCTTCCTCTTTTCTAACCCAACATTTCCGAAACTCACAAATCCCGTTCTCCATTCACCAAGCCCCCTTTCATCAAACACCTCGCCAAACGTCACTCCATCCCTGCATCACCATCATCTCCTGCTTCGACGAGCTCGCCGAACTACGAAAGTTCTTTTTGTTCAGACAAGGGATGCTTTGACAATCAGCGATGCCGGTACTTGTTCGGGGAGTCTCTACCCGTGTACCGCAGTTGATCGCGGACAAGGCGCCCAAAAATCCGGACTAGACGTCTGGATTAGTCCAGGTTTCCTCCATGTAAACTGGACGGACCATCGAGCGCATCAATTGTTAATGGAGGTGACCTGCGACGGACACGCGCGGCTCCCTGCCGTAAGAGTGGGAGTAGGGTGGCTTCCATCATTACAGTTGCACGTGCTGGTAGCGTGCTCGCCATCTTTTCCCATTTCGATGTGGTTGACACTGTACATGATTGAATCATTAGCTCATGGTTCTTCTTCAATTGAATTGTCCCTCCGTTCTTGATAGGAAAGTTTTTGGAGATATACATCAGAATACATATATAGATAGGCCCAAGACTTATGGGTGTCGGGGGAGCTCTGGGAGCCGGATTAGTTGAAGGAGGCCGTGTAGAGGACGGTGGTGTGGGTGATGAGTACCCTGCGGTAACGATAGGAGTCCAGCCCGAGGACGGCATTGTGGTGTAGCTGCAGTCGCTCACTATGGTGCCGCTAACAGTATTGACAAGCATAGGCGCCTTGATGCCGTCGCAAAAGCAAAAGTTCTCTGTGCCGGGCGCATAACCCTGTTCATCGGACAGATACTCAGCGCATGGTGAGAGGCCACCTTGCCCAGGAATCACGACGGGAGCGCTACTGGTGGCTGCTGGCAATGATGACGATGATTGAACGGCCATTGTAGATGACGGTGTCAACAGAGTAGTGAGCAAAGTTATACCACTTGGGCGATGTTTCTCGGCCGGAGGTACTGATAGCGTCGTAGCATCTTGGGAGCTGAGAGCCGATAGCGGTGTGCCTGGTACGACAGCTATACTGGAGACCATTGCTGAGGTGCTGTTGGCTAGTGTAGAGGTCGTGAAGCCTGATACTCCGCCACCGAGGACTTTACAGGAGAATGTCGCCCACAAAGCCCAGCACGACTTCGGCAGCGCCATTGTCAATGCTGTATCCGGACGGTAGGGCCTGTGGTATATTGGTGTCGCATGGAGGGTCCGTCATAATCCCTGATGACACTGCACTTGACGAAACGCTTGATGACACGCTCGACAAAATGGCTGATGAGCTGAGTGTAGAACTTCCTACCGAAATACTTGGCGTTCTTGTGCTCTCCTGCGTCTTGTGTGCTTGTGATTCATTCTGAGTCCTTTCCTCCTCTTCCTCTTCCTCTTCTTCCTCTTGGGCCATTTCAGCGACATTAGCTATGACTTCTTCTATATCAGTCAACGCTGGGCCTGGATTGGTTTTATCGATACCCTCGATGCCAAGCCTGATCTTATCCAAACCGCTGCTTATACATCCCACCAATTCAAGCAGGCCCGTAAGGCCGCCTCCCGTGCAAGCCGAGTCGTAGGAGGGTGGGTTGTCGCCACCTACCTGTCTGAAAAAATTGTCCCACTTTGATTCTACTGCTTGAATTTTGAGGACATATGACGAGCTAGAGGCCGAGTTGGTTACAATGTTTGACAAGGTCTGGGCTTCTTGCGAAATACCGACTATCAGTCCTCCCAGGGAAATTCCAGCCGCACTTGCGACCGAACCAGTCGGTTCGACCGTTATGATCGGCATGGAGATGGTTGGGCCTGATGTAATAGAAGCGGGCATCAATGATGCTATACTTGAAGAAGCAACAGTCATTGGAGAAACCGTGTTTGATAATCCAAGGGCTGTGATTGCTGTGGCTAAACTTGAAGTCAACAATCGAGTCGATGGCGAGCCAAGGACAAATGATGTACCGTTCGAGGACAGAGAAGTTACCCCAGTTACAGATGCAGCTAATCCAGTGCTTTTGTTGCTTTGGACGAAGGTATTTGAGCCTGTGGGCGACACATTGGTTCCTGCACGTGAACTGGAGCCTGCGACTGAAGCAACTCTGGATGAGTGCGATGCTGAGCTGGCTGAGTTGATGTTCGTATCCAGGCCTGGCGCAATGGATGATGCTGAGCTAGCTGATTTGGCGTTCACATTTCCATTCGGTGCGATGGATGATGCCGAGCTTGCCTTGTTAGTATGCAAGGTTAAACCTGTGGAGACTAGCCAAGGAATAACAGAATCGCTATGATTCGAGCCTGTAGCAGTGGACGTTGCTGGCACAGTGATGTTGCTATGTTGGCTCAAAATTGTAGGGAACGAACCCAGCGCTGACGAAGCAGACATTGATCCCGATCCAATGCTGGTTAATTGAGACCCTGAGCTGCCTGAGCCACTGCTGCTATCGTCCACGCCGCTCATGACAGAATTAGAAAATGCAGTAGTGCTGGCGGAAGCGAAAATACTGGTAAAACTTGCAGTCGGATATCCGGTCAGAACCTCGGCGCCATTAATGAAAAGATCTTTGGCGGGATCTGCTGAGACAGTTTGCCCATCGATCAAGACTGCAGCAGAGCCAGGAGCTATTGCGGTGCTATCGAGAATGTATTCTGCCGGATTGACGATAGATTGTGCAGATGCGATGATGATGGTCTCGTCTTGGGCGAGGACTACCTTGGCCATGGACATTACGATGAGGGCCAATTTCAAAGACTATCAAAAGGCAAAATTGGAAGCGGCTACGACTCTGTCACTAACGATTCTGTGACCACCTGCGCGCTGAAACGTTCTTGCAAAAGAATGGCATCGACGGCCCAGATCCCATAAGAGCTTGCAAGAAACTACCCTAATAGATGCTGAGCTATTCTCAGCTCACTCATCTTCGTTACGCTCTCTGGGAATCAAGAACGTGACGTTAGATAGGTATAAGCTTCAGGGGAAGTACCAAACTGGCTCATGGATCGCAATCAATCTCATCCTGCAAGAAGCCTTGAACCTCGAGACCGTCAGCTTTGAGGACCACTAACTCCTAGGACGAAAGATGGTCCGTAACCGGTCCATGCGACTCACAGAGCCGTGGGTACTGGGTTGACCCGATTCAAAAGACAGCATCTTGCCTTAAGCTTCGCATCGAGACTTTCGAGGCAAATGGGGGCACATTTCCCTTCCCATGCCTACAGATCCAGACCGGCTGGATCAGTTTGTGTTTGGAAAACCACCCCAGGATCAGTCTTGGCAGTTCACTGATCGTTCAGGATGAGGCATAGCACACCATTTTTTTTGGCCTTGACTAACGTCACATTTGAAAGATCAGGATCTTGTCACATCAGTCACCGCGTGATTAACTATCGAGGTGCAAGATTTGATGGATCATGATGACATGCATGAAAATTACTATTCCTTCGCTACTGTAATGTTGACATCAAGAGAGCTGACAAGCTGCACTAGAGGCGATAGATGGTTCCATTGGCTAATCTCTGCAATAGTCGATGTTGGAGATGAAATCCTTCCATGATTTGACACCAACACCATACCCGAACTTTGCTTGCCCATTGCGGTTTATCAATTTATCAAATCAGTGCTTTCCAATTTGCAATCTTGCCACGGTGGCAGGATGCCAAGCCCTTGCCGTTTCTCCCTTCCGACACCGTCTCGCTTCTTCATATCCTCTCGCCCGTGCCGCGGATTTGTGCACCACTTGGCGCTTCGGGATCTCTTCCGATCCACTTCTGAGTGACCGACCCCTTTTACTCATCATCGCCGCAGCTGAGCAGATGATTTTGCCTTCCTGGTTCTGGCTTAGACCAAGAACCAGAAGTCAATGCAAGCCTTCGGTCCAGGAGCATGGAATAACGAGCGTTAAGGATGATCCCGCGCAAATAGCTGCCGAGCGTAAAGAGCTGACGATTGGTACATGGCACGGGCTCATACACCGCACTGAGCCAGCCAGATTGGGTCATCTGGCGTCTCCACCGCGCCCAAATACCTCCTTGTCGTCACGCGGCACGTCTCATCATTCCCCTCCCTCCTCGCAAGAATCGTAATCTCGGTATCGCAAGAATCACATCCAGTCAAAACCTCCCGTCCCAACGGCCTTTTGACGAAGCCATAGATGGCATTGACAATATCAGAATCATTGATCCGTTTATGCGGGCAAAGCCAGATGCCATCCGCATTCAAGAACTGCTGAAGCTCTGCTGCAGTTTCCACCTGGGCCCTGACACCATCGAGCCATCCCAGATCCCATTGGAAGGAAAGCATGATACCAGGAGCGCGTGCAGGTTCCTTGCCAACATGGGAGGCATAAGTGCCGAAGCCTCGTAGTGAGCTAGGAGATGATACGCAGACGTGTTTGGGATCCACAGCGGCCAGGTCGAATTGGCTACGGGGCTCATGACAACCCAGTGTTAACGCGTCAACAATCTCGCCGTGGTTCTTCATCGCGGTAGAACTGATTGTGTTCTTCAGATCCTCAAACGATAGCGCCTCGTGTGGACAGATCTGGAGGCAAGGGCCTGCAAATGGTGGAGGAAGGATATCTTTTTCGTCCTGGAAGTGGGTCTTTCCCTCTGGCGACTCAGTGTATGGAGGTGGCACGTCTTCAACAGCGGATGTTGCCCAGTCGCCGAAGACGCCGTTGATCGTATGAAACGAGTTTGCCTTTTCTTGCTTTGTCGATTGCTGGTAGAAGAGAGAGCGCATCATTTTGAAGAATTGAGAAGCCATGTTGGATGAGTTTGGAAAAGGAAGGCAACTGGAGGACATTTGCAGTGGGAGTACGGACTGAGCAACTTTTACACGACCAGGAATTAGTCCCCAGCAGAGAGATATAAGAAGACAAATTAAATTCGTTCTGTGTACGCGTACTCAATCAAACTACGATTTTCGCTGAGAAGTGAGTAGTTTGATTGGTTAACTCTCCCGGCGCTATTAAGCGAGGTAGCTCACTTCTGGATAGTACGAGGGGTCAGATAAGATCACCAACAAGGGACGGGACACATCTCTGGGACAGAGGGGCTCGAGTGCAATATTGCGCAAATTGCGTATCCATATTTGATAGCCTAACTTTTTCATACTTTTCAGCGAGGCACGAGATGAGGCAAGATAGGTAATTGATATAAGGCATGCGCTCTTAACCCGTGATACCAACATGATGCAGCTGAAGCCAATCATTCATTTATTATTGACCAGGCAGAAAGAGAGAGATTGCAGCTCAACTTGACTAAATTATTAGAAGAGGGTCGAGGCCGCGAATACCTTCCTCCAAGCTCGCCAAGGCTGACAGATGACTAAGCTTTTCAATCGGATCTTCGCATCAAATTTCCTTCCCCCGCTTTCTCCAACAATCTCGAACCAACCAACGCAACCACAGCCTCAAAGTCAAGCTTATGCCTGCAACTCATTCAACAAACTTCCAGCCAACCAGCTCTCATCTTGACCAAGTGCCCGTTTCATCAGCTCGCACCCGACCTTCACAATCTCCTTTGTCTCCGTCTCCGTCCCCCAGCTGACCCGTGTGGGCCAGAACGCAAGGTGAACGCCCATGTGAATGGCGACACGCTTGAGGAACCTATTGTCCAGTTGTCCAGTCCCCCGATAGCCTTCTAGAAACGTCGTGCGCAACCCCTTGCCTCCTCGAAAACGATCCAGCAAATGCGCTTCCGCTGCGAACTGTCCCAGGTCCGTGGCTCCGCACCCTCTGCGCACCATCTCCCAATCTACAATACTCAACCTCCCTTGATCGTCGATGAGGACATTGCCGGGCCAGAAGTCTCCGTGGCATACACACTCGTCGTCAGTCTGGAGGAGAGAGCCATACTGGGCATCGATCTGCTCAGCAAGAGAAGGGTCTTGATCATACTTTTGCAGGGCGACGGCAAGATGGGTATACGCGAAACGATACATGGACTTGGCTGCTTGGTTGTCGCCGATCGCCGTATGTTTGGTCCGTTGATGTAATCCTGCGAGCCATCGACCCAGCGCTTTGCCGAAGGTGGGGGTGTCAAGCGTGGGGTCTGCATAGGCTTCCTTCAACGTGCGCGCACCGCCATCTTCGATCATGAGGACATGGCTAAGGGAGTCGTATTGGTATACCTCTGGCACAGCGACCACAGAGCTCGGACTGAGCAGCGGCGGCACAGACGTCATAGCCTTGTGCTCGAAGTCCATGCGATCGACTGAGAAGGACAGACCTGGCGCTGTCTTGAGGTACGGTTCTGCATGCTTGATAATGATTTTTTTCCCAGATCTCTCAAGCAAGCGCCACACGAAATTCGCGGTGCCACCTGCGAGCAGCTGCAAAGAGTTCAAATCGATCTTGGCATTGCCAAGCTTGCCTAGGTAAGCCTTCAGCTGCTCTGTGTTCGTGATTTCTGTCATCAGGTCTGCTGTTTAGCAATTCTCTTTGTTTTAACCAAGATCTCGATTCTTTTACTGGGAAATGCATCAAGTTCCAGCGTCTGCGCGTTCTTGTACTTGGAGGATGTTTCCTCCTGCTGCACCTGTGAGTCACAATGCCAAGACCTTCGTGGATGTAACCTTTTAGCTCACACTCCTGTTTGCGAAGGTAAGATTACCAATCTTCTCCATGTAGCAAGATGGGTAAGAGACGTAAATCACACCGCCCGCGAAGCCCTGACAGGACTGACTCATCGTTCATTGATGCTCCCAAATGCATCTTCATCTCAGCGTTATTAAGTGTCATGTTCATACGTCTTACTCGTAGTTTATCCAAGTCACCGCGTGGACATACATTTGGATGTCCGTATTGCCTACTGGTGACTTCCGACAATCTAACCAATTTGACCTGAATTCATGACTCGTCGTTAAGACTTCAAGGCTAGCGACGGTTTGCGTACACTTTCATCCATCTTATCCCATTCGTGACAGTCACAGAGTAACATCACGGGCCAAGAATTTGACGGCCAATAATCGACAGGTCTCGTGCTGCGTCGAGCCTATGCCGGTCTCCTTATCAAAGTCGCTTAAAGCGCAAGGAGGGAAGCCTTGATAAGCGCCAGCAACGGCTCATTGTTTGGTTGGTTCCATCTTCTGCGAGATAAGCTCGCAGGTGGATGTCGGCAAACCCCAAAGTGTAATGAGTCTAAGCTCTGGGCCGCCGCGCAGGCCATCTGGCTTCGGAGCTTAACCCAGCTTCATTGATTGAGCGATCGATCCTGCGTCCTTGGTCGCACGCCCTAGCTTTGGTCGGCCCCGGCCAGCGGATAAGATACGATGTTCCTTGGAGCGTCTCGTCATCAGAAACGCTTGCTCAATCAAAACTTTGCCTTATCTTCAACGGCTGACATTCAATGCTGAGGCCAACGATCCATCACGTCTCATCCGGTATCACCTGATCTTTACCGGTTGTGTGTATATGCACGAGGGAAGGGAAGTCTCCTAAGACCTTTGGTTTCTCACTCGAGCAATGACCAAATGTAGTATGGTCAGTAAGCTGCATCGTCTCATCTTGCGCATGATGGCGGCTGAGGGTCTAGGCGTTGCGCTCAGACCTCTTTTACCCCGGACTCTCCAGCGTCTGTATGCGCAATGACTTCAAGTCGCGTGCTTAATTCTCCCCAGATATAGCAGAAACCATATCAACTGTACTTTGAGGGTTTTGATAAGAGACGATCATCGTCGTGAAACCCGTTGACGCCCGCGTCTCCTTCGCGATGCCAAAGCTGCGCATATGTGTAGCACTCAAAAGGTAAAGAGCTCGCGTGCATCTTTGCATTCTCATTTGTAAGTTTCTACTGAATGTTGTTCCTGAAGATGCGGCTTTTGCCTGCGATTTGCTTTGTCAAGTTCCTCTATCTCTACAGCCTCGCGGACGCGCTAGCCTTGCCTCTCCTCAATGCTACGACCACGGCGCCACTTCCTTCTACCAAGGCCAACATCACAGTGTTCGTATAGCCCAATCTTAGATTCTTTACATTCAGCAGTACTTTCACATATATCAGCACAGAAATACTCGCTAATGTTGTCTCTAGTGACGAAGGACACCACTACCCAATCCCTGGCACGCCGCTGACCCTCCACCTTACACTTTTTCCTACCAGAATCCCTCTCCCCGCCGAGAATACCCTTCATTGCCTCCACAACTTTGCCAAAGTCCTCGCATCGGAGCCTCAGTCAGACTTCCTAGACCGCAGGCGCGAACAGACGGCATACAATGTGGAAGCTATCATAGCACCCGTGAACTGTCCAGGATGTGGACTCACCTATGGAGAATCGACCAAGGTATTGGCCGGGCTGTGGTATTATACCAGCAGGGAGAAGCTTCTGTACGTGCAGCGGTACGGAGTTTTTGAGAGCAGGACGGGGAGGATGGTGGCGTGGGGAAAGTTGCTGACGGCGCCACCAGCGCCTGGGCCTGGGCCTGGGATGCTAGGGGGGATGGAGATGATGTCGACGTTACCTGCGGGGTTGGCAGAGACGAGTTGAGTGGGCGGATGCTCGGCTCCGAATCTATGGGCTTGAGGGTGAATGTTGAAGGTCTGACACGCCCTACCGCTTACTTCGACAGCAGCAAGATGTAGCATACGGTGAGCGCCGATGCCGATGTTGTGTACGCAAGCGCTCAGGATATGCGATATTTCGGTGCTTGAGAATACAAATCTCTCGGGCATGCCGACCCAAAGACGCATCGAAGCTTCGCTTACGTGACCGTATATTAACAGGCTTAGCAACCTCTTTTTGTTTACATCTAGGCAATCATTTTCTCCGACCTGTCGAGATGTGCCTGCTCGCCACTTTCCGCTGAAAAAAATGCCGCGCGAGATTTTGAAATCCAGGTGGGTTTGAGGCTGGGAGGCGTCTTCGTTCGAAGTTCAACATCAATTCGTCTGAGAAGGCACTCAAGAACATTCTCTCGAGTGCAGAAAGCATGCTCGGAATTTCAATTACTGCAGTACCGGATCCATGATCTGTTGGCCACTGTGCCGCGTACTGGTCTCCCGAGGATCTTGAACCCTGCACAAGCAACGTGCTCGGCGTTGTGAGGCTTTACCACCGTTGGCGTGACGCGCCGAATCATGATTAAATCCTTGGTCAGAACCATGCGACGATCCGGACCGCAGTCAAACGCTATCAAGCTCCTGCATCGCCAGTGATCTAAGCCGCAAGCTGAAGGTATTTGGTCAAGCGACACCATTTTAACGATATTGTCCCGCGCTGTTGTCGTCTCGAACATTGTCCCTCTTTCTTCACGACGTTCTTCGCTTTACCGCTTTTTTTCTTGACAGATTTCGGTAGTTTTGTCATTTGTTACAGAGTTGGTTTTTTTTCAGATACTTCAAACATGCTTCATCTGCTCTCAATATGCCTCCTCGCCTGGCTCGCACACACTTCCTCAGCGCCGCCTGCCTTCACGCCTTCGCCCAAGTCCTTGCCTGAGCTTCTCAACCGGGCAAATAATGTCTGCGGATCGTGGATTGATATCAGCTCTACCAGTATGCTTCCTATCCCTCGTACATATGCTCGGAACGTATACTAAACCAAACAAACACACGATATCAACTGCAATACGACCGTACAATGTATGATCGCGATGACCCTGACACCACAAAAGATCTACTGCTCCAATTTTGGATCGCCAGTAACGACTGCATTCGATTACGACGATTGGCCAGTCGATGGCTGCGGCGTAGGTCAATTATGCTGGTAGCTATCCCCCAACATTCAGCCCCGCCAGCATTCATAGGATCGAGAGACAATCGCTGATCGTGCTCAGTCCCTCTACCGCGCCCTATAAAACGCGATCCGACTACGACGAAACAAACGTATCCGCAGTCCAGATAGTCTGCGGCGTCGGAACCGCAACCCTCATCAACGCCCACGGCGCGCTCTTCACCTTAGAGCAAACCGAAGCACAGACCGTCGGCGGTGTCAACACGGCCGCAGTATCGGATCTTCAACCCGCAATCACTGTATCGGCGGTCACAGTGACACAGCCCGCCTCGTCCGGATTGACCACCACACCTCCCCCATCAAGCACCAGCAGCGGCTCCGCTCAGCACCTACGGCCACGACCAGTGACGCGTAGCGGTAGGGGCGGAGATAGGGTCGATTGTTGGGGCGATATGCGGGGCGATTGCATTGGGGGTGTTGATATTCTTCGGACGGAGAGGACTGGAGAAACGGCACGAGAATACGAAAAAGAAGCTGGCGGCGAAGGATGAGGAGGAGGCGGAGAAGGCAGCGCAGGAGCAGCCTATGGTATGGTCATCTCGCCATTGAATTCGACCGGGACGTTCACTCATTCAATTGGCTTTGCGGATCATTAAATTGCTACTGGCGTATTCAGGTCGCTAGTGGGGTATATGTTGCGGAATACTCGGCTAGGTACGAGCACTGTTCCATTAGATGAGTGATACGACACTATGAATGACCGTACTGCCCAGGGCCAAACAGATCCATGAATGAGATGTAACATGTCAGGCGGGCTATCAGAATAAGTGGCTAATTCAACAATGAAAGGGTTTGTAAACTTACTTTTGCTTGTAGGAATATTGAAACCTCTTCTTGTACTCCCTTTTTGAGGTTGTGAATAAATGAAGTTTTCGGTCAGCCACTGTCAATAAAACATGCGACGCGTTCTTTTTTTTTAATTTTATAGGATTGACTATATTATTATTAATTTTTAAAATTAAGAATATTAAAAGACTTAATATAATATTTTATTTAAAAAGTATGAAAGTAGCTAGTCTTAAAATAAAATTTCTTAAAAGAGTTTTTTAAATATAAAGTCTGAAGGTTTAATTTGAATACTTATAGTAAATCTTTCACAGTCGATATATAAATTCTAAAATAAACGGAAGTATCTATAAAGAACTACGTAAATTATTAACTAAATTAAAGATCGTTTTAGAGATATATATAACTTAAAATCTTTTATTATAGAATTGTTTATATTAATATATAAATATTATAAATAGATTATTATAGTTATAAATATCGTGTTATCGAGCTTTTGCGTATTATTTATAACTAGAAATTCTAGTAAAAAGATAAGAATTTTATTAAGATTATATAGTCTAATAAGAAGAATAAAAGATATTTAATTCTCTAAGAGTTATTTTATTATAGAATAAGAAGCTTAAATATACGTAACTCGATTCTACGATAAACGATATAAATCGGATTATTAGAATATAAGTTTAAATAAATTCTTATATATTATACTATTGGGGCTATAAAATAAAATTATAAAAGTAGCTTATACTCTTTAAGACGAAATAGAATTCGAAATTTAAATATATTACGTTATATTAAATTCTTAAAAGAAATGGTATCTATAGCATATATTAATATAACGTCTCGGGAAAAATAGTCTTGAGAAGACGATAACTTTATATATAGCTATTTTTTAAAAGAATATAATGCGATATTTAAGAGAAACACGGTATCGAGTATTATATCAATTATCTATACTCGTTAAATTTCTCGCTAATTAAGAATATATAAAGAATTCTTAAATAATATATTAAAAGACATTATTATAAGATAAAGAAGTCTTAAAAATATAATTATATGGTAAAAGTAAATTAATTAAAAGAAAATAACGTTAATTTTTAATATTTTAATCGTATATAGAAGTGCTTAGATCGGGTAGCATAAGTACTAAGTATTAGAAATCTATATAGTAGTAAATAATGGTGTTTTGATATCTTGTGTTTTGGTGGGGGTCTGGCAAACTGCCACTTATTCTGCGCCTGTGTCTCGGCAAGACTGCCACTTATTCGGCCTGATGGTCAGCCTGCATGTGTGGCGCAGAGACCTGCTTTGTCACTCATCACTTGGCATGGCTTGGCAGTCCGCAGCTTTGCCTGAATTTTGGCGGGGCGGAGGGCGCAGAGCAATCTTCAACCATCTCTGCTTATCCATCCAGTAAGATATCTATGCCTACGGGATCAACAATATCTGCGATGGATTGAATTTTGCCAATCGACTTCCCCACAAGGTGCCATCATGGATCCAATGTCAGCGGCCGCCTCTATTGTTGGCTTGCTTGGGGCTGCAGCCAAAGTCTCCGAAGTCCTCCTCAAATTCATCGGAAGTGTGAAAGGAGCACCCAAACTGGCACAAAATGTTCTGATGGAAATTTCCGATGTCAGTGCTTGTCTGAACCAATTGCAAAGATATTTGCAGGGTGCTCTCTCAACTTCCAATTCGCAAGAGCAGCTTCTTATGGTAGAGCAACTGGTCGTTACTTTGTCCAATTGCGTCTTAATCTTTTCGGAACTTGAGGAGACGGTAGACTCTTTGAAGCCAGCAGAACCCATGCAACCTTGGAGACTGGCTCAATGGCTTTTCAAGGAACAAGCTATATGTGCACTCATGGTCCGAATGCAGCAGTCTAAACTATCTTTGAGCCTTATGCTGACAACTCTGACGTGGTAAGAACACATGATATGAAGCGACGCATGGCGATGCTGACCTTTCGACGTCAGCACCTCTATCGGGCAAGCTCAATCATCTGCGGGTCAGCTTACGACTCTGATCCAGCAGGTCTTAGAGAGCAACCTCGAGATGTCTCAACGGATGGCAAATCTAGAGATGCGGACTTTCGGACTTTCTCGAAGCGCGGCTCCAACCTTGGCAACCCTAAATACAAGCGGGGACAATGACAGCATCAAAACCATGAGAGCCGCAAACGACGTCCAAGAAAAGGTACTCGGCGAACACTCCGAGACTATTGAAGAGACCAATCAAAAGGCCGACAAAGAGTCAACCCATGATCAAGGGCCCACTTTTGGCTTCACTTTTGATCAAGACCTGAACAGTTCTCGTCCTTACACGCGAGCTATGAAGAGGAACTCCGTGTGGTCCACAGCTTCATCTACGATGCATACGATGAGCTGGTCCTGCCTGTCCGGCTTGAGCTTTGCGGACGTGTCTGAAATCTCAGTCATAGGCTTACCGATATCACCACAAGAGTTGTTGAATGGTCATCATTATATCCTCGCAAACTCTGACATGAATGACGTTCCAGAAAAACCTTTAGCACCAAACAGAGACGACCTAGCTTACAGACCAGATGAAAGCTTTTATGAGGACGAGTCAGAACCTCTGGAGACTCGCAAAGGACTCTTTCCCTACGATAATGCGCAGTCAGTGGGCGGCAGCTTGGGTTTGCGTTCAGTCGATGGACAGGGCAGGAAGATTCCTATTGCTGCTGGTGGAAGGCTTCTGGAACCTAAAAAGATTATCCTACTAGGTGCGGTTCCAATCAGCTTACGTTGGACCTAGAATAGGACTGACAGGAGATTTGTCACAGGAGCAACGATGGCTGGAAAGACTACAACATATCACCGTCTACAAATGACACATGGCAATGACTTCACTGACTCAGACCGTCGAAGAGCGCGAGAGTCCGTTATACATGGCCTTGTTGACATCTTCAAGAAATCAAGGGGGCAGTACCAAGATCCAATATCGATTGAAGACATTGAGGTCTGTTCTCGGATGAATATCCCCATCATCTGCAAAGCTTAGAAGAGTTGCATTGACACAACCAGCAATTCGAGACTTTGGCATACGCTACACGAGACCAGACACTCAACGGGATCTGGACTCTTAGATGCTATCATGCTCTGATAGCTCTCTGGTCGAAACCAGAAATCCGAAGAACGATAGAGAACGGGAGAGACGCAGCATTGAATGAGACTGTCCCATAGTAAGGTTCTGGTCCTGAAAGTCTATATATGGAAGCGGTTGCTGAATTTACTAGCCTAATGGAGAATATCGATTTTCTGTTCTACGAAAGAACCATGCCGGACGAACTCTTACTGAGAGGCTGCTACAGGACTACAGGCATTCGCGATACCAGACTCGACATCGAAGGCCGCTCATGTCACCTCTACGACGTCGATGGTAGGAGATCAGAGCGCAAGAAGTGGCCGAATTACTTTCAAGATGTCGACACTGTTATCTTCGTAGTTTCTCTGACCGGCTACTGCCAGGCTCTCCCGGAGAACGTGAACACGGTAAGCGTTGATCGCAAATGCTTTGGTCTTTTTGAGAGGCTGACCGCTTTATTGCAGAATCAAATGCTGGAGTCTCTAGCGCTGTTTGAATCTATAATCAAGCTCGACCGGTTTGGGACTGTTCCAATAATTCTCATGCTCAACAAGTTCGACCTTCTAGAGCACCGGATGAGGAATAACCCGATAGTGGACTACTATCCTGAATACTCTGGAGACCCGAATCCTTTGCATGCTTGCCGGTTCATTGCGACTAAGTTTTCACAGCTCGACCACCGCCCACACGGAAGCCTAAGGATGATGGTGACCAGTGTGGTAGAAGATGAGCTGTGGCCCGATCTGTTTCGACAGGGATTGGCAATTATCCCTGAGGCACCCAAGTAGTCAGCGTCGATGGAATATTCTCCTTCGGCCCTGGCTACATTGAGTAGCGAGAGAGGGGCTTTCAATGCACCCTAGGCTAACTTGATGAGACTACAAACTCCGTAGCAAATGTGGCCGACGCACAGTGGCAGATGCATGAAGGACATCGTTGTTAGCTGCGGTTATATCGCCAACTTCTATGATCTGAAGCATGTATCTCACGCGAATCTCAAGCCAAGTCGTTGCTGCTGGTAGTCGCCTGGCGCGCTACGGACGCGGCGTTGACGATATCGCACCAACATATCAGCTCTACAGCCACACGCTGGGGATTAAAAATGGGGTACCCTCATCAGTAGCAGCTGTCTGCTGAACGACCCTGACTCTGGAGTAGCTTTGCTATGTCGTATTTACTGGAGTGTTCGGAAGCTCGTTGGACCTCCGCTTTGGTTCCACTTTTGGCGGTTACTAATGGGGCCGCTCGACTTTCCTCTTCTGGAGCTGCGTATCCATGATTGAACGCCAGAGACTAGCATCGGAAGAAGGCACTGGGGCGTTTGTGAACTTGCAAGATTGCTCGTGACCGAAGTCACTGGCTTTGTTCATGGAAATCAATCTACACTTAGCGAGATAAATCGCGTGTTTCTACAGATTGAGATAGCTTATTCTTTACGAGGAACCAACTCGATCTGCGCTTCTGCACATATGCAAGTATTACTCTCTTAATGTCTTGTCGCGAAGGAGAGAAGGGATACAAACCTTCAAGTTCCGCCACTCCTCGGTCAGACCAGACTCCAACTTTGGCCTTGCAACAAAAGGGACTGTCTACTTGCCGCTTACGATAACGGCCAACATCGTGGCTTGACTAAAGTACCAGCTATATGCATGCTATTGGCAACTCCCACTCCAACAAACCATCGCTCCGAATTAGCTAAGTCTGGCAGATATCCAGCATCTGTGTCGTGGGCCTTTCTTATTGTGCTAGTCGCCTGCTTTGTTCGACTCGCGGCGTCGGATTATATTCAAAGAACAAGCCGCGTGCACAATGGTGAGCCAACAAGGAACAAAGGCGGAGGAAGCAGCCTACAATTTTGAAAGGAACCAGAGTACAATGGACTTGTGGCGTTGAATGTTGCTCGAAGAACAATCCGCGACTTGCGATTTCACGAGTAACAAAGGTGGAGAAAGCAGCCCACAATGTCGAAAGATACCACACAATGAAATGACAAAGGCTTTTCTGCTGATCATCTACTCATTTATATAAATTGCCAAGTCAAATAATTTTCTTTTTCTCTTCACGCAACTTTTCGAGTACTTACAACCTTTCGTTCAACAAGCACATCATCTGTTACCTATTATCTACCATCATTGAATTCGAGTACTTCGCAGACCGCATTGAGAGGCCGTCAGACCGCTTCCAATGGCAGAGCAATTCCTCCACCAGCTTCTCCGCAAGGAGAATAGCGTGCACTCAGACGAGAGTCAGCAATGTCATATTTGTCTGTCGGAATTTGGCACATTGTAAGTCAACGTCCCTCGTTTTTTACCCCTCATACACATGTCCCAAGGCGCATCTCATCCCAATGGGAAGAAAGCTGACTCTGCCATTGTTTAGATCCTCGGACACTGGTGTCATCGAGTGCCAAATTCGTCTCCCTTGCAACCATACACTTGGCTCTGCATGCATCGCAACATGGTTGAAATCCAACAACACTTGCCCTGTCTGCCGACATGTCTTGTTTCCGCGGCCAGCAGATGACGATGACGATGACGTTGACGACGACGACGACGAGAGCCAGATTGTACGATCGGGTAGAACTTCACCTGTCTATATTGACACGGACGATGAGGAATATGATGAACACCTGAGCACTCGGGTGGCTAGAGCTGCCCGTATCTCAGAACTTACCTTTAGCTACTCCGCCGCCCTCCACCTCAATGCATCGATCACTATATGTTCCCACGGCATTGCGGAGAAATGTGGCAGCCTTAACTCACTTCCTGGTCGCTCCGAAGCTTCTATTGCGGCAGCCTCCGTTTACATGGCCTCTCACATTGGGCTTCAACCCAAAACTCTGAGAGAGATTTCTCAGCTGGCGGACAACACTGAAGGCACTATCCAGACTGTCTATCGACGCATCTACGCCTACTTTCACACTATGCCTGAAGGAACGTGGACACAGATCTGTCGGGGTCTACCTTGGCATTCTGACGACGTAAGTAGTATTTCTGCATTAATCTTGCAATTTCCCTACCCCATTCTTGAGCCGCTAGACATTTCAGGGGGTACAAGGAAAAGTCGAACTACCCCAAAATATCCTAGCACTCAGCGCTGTGTCTAAGAGAAGAAACGCTGACTTTGAATTCATGTAGTGGCCTCCTCTTGAGCACGAATTCGTGGCCGGTGAAACCGGTGAGGATGAAGAATACATGGAAGACATCTGGTCCCAATTCTCCACCGAGCTCCATCTACAGCCCACCGTCGTCACAATAGCAAAACGAATGGCGATCAAACTGGAAGCTTGGCCTGCACTCGCATCTTACGAACCGATATCTCTCGCGGCCATATGCATCTATATCGCTTCATACATAGCCGGGTCCCCCGAATCTCACGTCGAGGTGGCCAGAGTGGCAGGAGATAGTTTGTCCTTCCTGCTATCAGCATACGAGCAGGTATACGCAGATCGCGAACAACTTCTCGACAGCACCATGACAACCGTTGATCTGCCTCGCCCTTCTAGCAACGGGGATCCTCCATTTTGATGGCACCGTTGATGGCGGAGAGTAGCTTGCCTCGGGTCAGTTCCCCTCCTACAGCAGCGGTTCAACCTCCGACCTTTACCAATCTTGCGGCAGTAATGATTGAGATTTTTCGTGCGGCATTGAATATGATCCCGATAAATAGACTAGTATTATGTATCGTGGAAATATAATTTTGGAACTTCTTGTTGAATCCTTGCACTGTCTTCCGTACATGTGACGCAAATCATTACACAAAAGTGTGCGAGTCCCTTAGCCAGTAATGCTTACTTCACCCTCAGCATAGATGCATTGAAATACCATTATTTATTCAAGAAACCTTTCGATAGAAAATATCATGAATCCACCAAGGATTCATAAACTGCTCTCGAGATGTTCGATTGAGGCACTTTCATCTCAGCTCTCCCTGTCCCATCACGATCACTCTCACCAATCTCTTTGCAGCCCGTGATCGAGCGAAACTCAGCCCGAAAGAACGACAAGTCCAAGCCCAACTCCGCCAGCAGCATCGCAGACATGAGAGGAAATCCAGTGGCTTCTATGGCAAAATGGTACACCGACGGCTTCGACCTCGCATGACTGGCTAAATCTCTACACCGCGCGAACTATCTACCACTGTGCGGGAAATGCCAGATAGACCCATACCCCGAGCTCTCGAACACACCAACGACGCAACCCAGCTCGCGAGCGCTACGGGGACAGGACGTTATTGGAATCATCCATGCCTCCCTCGTACGCTCGATGATACAGCCCAACAAGTCAACTCTCCAAAAGCCGACGCACCGCATCTTACCAAGAAATGTATTATATTGATCCATCAACCCTTCCCAAACCCATACAGATCCAACCACAAGAACCGACAATCGAGCTCAGCGAAGCCACCCCGTATCCAGCTTCTGTGAAATACAGATACGAGTGCCCTTGTAGGCACTTCGTTACTGGGCGTTATATCGTAAATGCAATGGTTGTGATAAGCCGCCCCTGGCTCCGTCGATGCTGTAACGCTATGATGCAACATGTGCCGTTCGCGTTATCGAGAGACCACAGCCAGGTAGTCTACTCGCGGTTCAAGAGGAAGTTGCCAACCAATGAGGGATGGTTGAGAAGCCACGGAGTACGGAGTGGGGGGGGGGGGCAGATCAGGCTTGCGGCTCGGATGGACGGGGGTGGTGGTAGTTATGCTACACGGAGGTAAGCAATGCTATAAGGGTGGGTGTTCTGTCGTCTGCGGCGTCAGGGTACCCTTCGAGAGGGCCGTTGGCTGGCTTACGGGCGGGTAGGTAGGTCTCGGGTCTCTGTTGACATGTTGAGGCGAGTAGATGGAGATGGGGGGGTAGACATAGGGAGGTTGAGAGCTTGGATGCATAGGAGGAGACGGGGTCACGTGAGGTGGCATGTTATGAGCGAGGAGGCTCCGGAGAGTGTGTTCGTGAGGATGGAGATTCTTGTTAAGGTGTCTTATGCTTCAGAGGTGCAGACATTTATTTAATTTCCCTCAATCAGATAGCTTCAAACGTTTCATCGATTCTTCTGCCATAGGATCTCCCTCGTTGGGACTCTTCTCCGCTTCCTCCTTCTCCGCTGCCTCCTTCTCCGCTGCCTCCTTCTCCGCTGCCTCCTTCTCCGCTGCCTCCTTCTCCGCTGCCTCCTTCTCCGCTGCATTCTCCTGCTGACTCATGGCCTCACATACATCTAAAACGAAATGAGTGACTCATCGATCTTTAAGATTGGGTTTGAGGAACACACTGCAATTGAATCTATTGTTCTGCTTGCGACTGCAGATTGCTACTGTTAGTCTTCAGACCCCACCAAAGAAACCTGGTGGGCTCGGTGGCTTACCGGGTATCAGGATTTGAGCAACCCTGGCCTCTGGAAAACACTCAGCACGCGAATTTAGCTGGAGAGAGACACAAACACATACAGCATGACAGGGATACACGGATCGCGGGATCCTGGAGCGGTGCATCCGCAATCCCACTCAGTCTCTTGGCGTAGAATCAGACACATCTTCTACTGAGAGCATGTCAATTCTAGGGCAACAAGGTGTGTGTAACAGTGTAATCTACCTTGCGAGCTTGAAGGTGTGCGTGTTTGTGTGAATCGGTCTTTGCGTCCTGAATTGCTTGGTGCGTTGGAGGGCGCGAAGGTTAAGTGATAGAGGCCTATGATGTATGTGATTGTAAAATAGTGTGTGTGATCGTGTTGAAGAGACTGAGGTGCTGGGGAATGTGGCGGATGATCTGATATACTGATGCCAGGGGTAGAGACGCTCTTTATATAGACTGCGCACTTGCTGCCTGCTCCGATGTCATGCTATTCTTCGTTTGAGATGTGAATCATCTGGTTTCCAGCGGGCGGCGACATTGTTTCAGCAGCGCCACACATTTTACGCAAAGTGCCAAACGACCGGATGATACATTCGCTCGCTTCTTGACAGCCGGCCCTGATGTTTGGGAATTGTGGGTACGACATGGCTATTGGTGTTCTCGCCACGAGCGTCTCGGTTTCTTACTTGCTGAAAAGCTGCCTGGGGGGCTAGCAAGTACCAAACACGGTTTTAACAACGGATGCAGGAACACTGATACCAACGTCATACACAACTTGGGCTGTTGAGCTTCAGAAAGGGGTCGCTGAAGGGTACGGCGCTTAAGAGCCGAGTCTTCCGGACTTCTCCCTGTATCAGAATTCGCGCGCTTTTAGTTTCAGTTGAGGAGAGATGTCAAAGCGACGTCCCGAGAGAATCAACAATATGCTCAGCCTCAGTCTTGGCTTTGCGTTTCAGTCTTCAGGGTCGGGCGAAGATGGTCATACTGAGACCAAGTTTTGGACTTCGCGCCCATCCAGGCAGGTGGTGAAGGGCAGGGAGTCAGGTCATTCAGTTGGTCGAACCCTTTGCTGCATGGGAGTTGCTACATGGGATCCTTCAAACGTTGTTACCCAAACTTGTGCGATACCTGAATCATCAAAACCACTCATGCAAGTGGTTGAGGTAGGGCAAGCCAGATTTTCTTGGTTGCTGGAGTCCACAAGTGACGCCTCTCATACTCTCACTGAAACCATATCTGGAGCCTGTAGACCACGGAAACAGGGTGTCAAGAGCTGAGCAGCCAGGACAAGCAGTCATTTGACAGTCTGTCTCGCATCTGTTCCATGCATCGACATCCGTATTGATGCCAAACTCACCGTAACCGGTGAGGAAAAGGTGGGAGAAAAGACGACAAAGGTAGGAAACGCCAGGATTCGACTTGATACAAGTATGGTCGGTTAATGCGGAAGCCAAGAAAAAGCTGACTAAGCGGCGGGGATCTCGGAAGTCCACGTTCGAATGTTCTTTCCTCCCTTCACCCGAAGAGGCAAAGATCAACAACATTACGGTAAACCATTCCTTGACCAGCATGTACCTCCTCGTCCAAACATGGCAGCAGACGTCCCTGCGGGGACCCCATCTCCGGCATCACGGCAATCTCGAGTCTAGACCTCCCTAAATGACCCCACGTACCCTAACCATGGGCCCCTCATCTTCATCCAACCACAGATACATCTTCTACCCTTCCGACCATCCTTTCAAACTACCTTTGTACCCCTGGCAGCATTAAGCAAGAAGCCACCCAGCTCAACGTTACAGTATGGACATCTCAAACAAAGGCGAAGACCAGGCCGCCATGGCCAACAGGAAGTACATTCATTGGCAGGACGAGGGCGTTGAGAAGATTCCCCCGAACGAAGCAGAGGATATCCAAGCAGTGGCGGACCAGATCAATGCCATGCAGAAGGCACAATACAATAGCCATCGCCATTGTTACACAGGCGAGTGAGGTCCACTGTTACCAACGGGCTTTGCTGACAGGGCGTGCAGGAACACATGCTAGGACCCAAGGCATCGTCAAAGGCATGCTCATCGTCAAAGATGACCTGCCAAAGCATCTGAAGCAAAGCATGTTTGAGCATGGAGGGCAACATGCAGTAGTATGCCGCTACAGTAGCGAGCCCGGAGACCCAGGTTTGGATGTACGCCCGCGGCCCTACCACTTCTCAAGGACACGTGCTAAAATATGCTAGGATCGCATCCCCCAACCCCGCGGCTTCGCCATGAAAGTTTTTAATGTTCCTGGCGAGAAGTTCGATCCTACAAAGACCGCCCAAGACATCGAGTTCAACTCCACTCCCGCCCTCGATCTCGCAGATGCCAAGACCACCCGAGAGATCATAGATCTGCGCATCAAATACGGCGGCGACAAGCCTGAGTTATATAAGAAGCTGGAAGCACGCCCAGACACCGATCTACAAAAGTTCCGCGACTCCGTGCGCAACACACACTTGGAGTCCACGCGCCAATACTCGCAGACTGCGTACCGCTTTGGTGACTATGTGGCGAAGTACTGCCTGGTCCCTTCCAGCGAGACGCAAAAGAAGCTGTACGAAGAAACGGTCAAGCCCGATGAACACGAGCCAGACATTCTCAGCCAGTGGCTCCAGAACTTCCACGAAGCGCATGACGCCGAATACCTGCTACAGTTCCAGCTGTGCGAGAACCTCGAAGACCAGCCTGTCGAATATGCAGGTAAGGTGTGGGACCCGGAGAAATACCCTTGGCAGACGGTGGCTACACTAGTGATACCAAAGCAGGACTCTTTCAACTACGAGTTGAAGTCTTTCTGGGAGGATCACATGAGGATTGATCCTTGGCTAGGGTTGAAGAGTCTGCAACCATTGGGATCGCCGAATAGGCTAAGGCGTGTTGGTGCGTTAGCACCAGACTTTTCAAGGTGATCTGAATGCTGACGAAACGGTGCAGTCTACCCTGCGAGTAGCAAGCTGCGGCGAATGATGAATGGCAAGAAGGAAGTTCATGTCCACGAAATGGACCAGATTCCGTAGGCCCGCATCCGATCACATCCTCTTGATTTAGCTGACTTGTTGACAGTGGCCCTTCGCCTGCTGTGGGCGGCAACTTCTTGAAGGTCAATTAAGCCGATGTTCCCTGACCCGGTTAGGCCTTGGTAGTTTGATAGTTTCCAATCATTCGCTTAGCTTCCTGATAGCCCTCGTGTATTTGTGTTTGCGACTTTTTTAGTATGACCCTGTGGGCTAGAAGTTCACACAGCTCCCCCGGAACATACCCTCTAGGTGCACGATCCGGACTGTTCTGGGGAGGGGTGCATGCTAGCCCACGAGGCGATATACTGCATCGCGAATATTGAATCCGTTTCTTCATAGTAAATGCATTCATCATTGATCGAACAAGCATTGTCTACAGTGGTCGCTTCATTGTCTCCCATCTTATACATCCCATCGCTTACAACCACACAGGGGGGTCCTCCAGTCTTTCCTCCCATCCCATATCCTTTGATTCGTCCGAGTCCCAAGTCATGAAGGTATCCGGTCAGGGTTTCTGACCCCGTCTAATGACAGCAATACGTTCAGTCACTCCTCCAACTCCTGCTCCGGTCCCTCTTTTGCTCCATCCCCATTCGCAACCTTTGACAGGATCCTTCTAGAAATCCCTTCGTCAATCCTGCCGACGGGCCGAGACCGGGCGTCGCGGCGACCTTGGTTGCGGGCTATATATTGGCGGCGGCAAAGTGATCTCAAGCGTCTCGTTGATGTCACCCACAGGCTCTGAGCTGAGCGCCGCTGCATCCCCTAGCGCTCCCAGGGCGAGAGCCTCAACGTCAATCCCAATCGCGTCCTCTGCTCCAGCCTCTGAATACGCTTAGTCAAGATGTCCTTCCAACAGCAAGGTGCCGGCGCGCGAGACATACCAGCAGCACCCGCGTTAGCACCGGCTGATCTCATTCTCTGAAAAAGCTGATAGACACTCCTGATGAGAAAGGTCAATCCGAGGGCCATGAGGACACGTGTTGTGCTGACGAGATAGATGTTGTTGTCCCAGTTGTCCTGCTGGGGAGCGTTGACTGTGTTCATTGCTGCTGCTAGTTGTGAGGGGAAATATAGAGTAAGGCTGCGTTTGGAGGAGTGGGTTGGGATTGAAGGAAGAAAACCAGGGGGACGTCGAGATGGACATATAATGGGCGGAGCCTGAGCAGAGGGAAATAGGTGGGGGGGGGGTTAATGACATAGCAGAGTCGCAGACCTACATCAAACGCATGCGTAGAGTGAGGATCGTAAGGTAGTGGGAACGGCTGATGCATTGATCGATCCCAAGCCGAGGCAGACGCGTATGGCGCACAACATTATTGAGACTAACGATAAAATACCTGGTTGGCACCGCCAAGAAAAAGCTTTGGCCGATGCTGGGCATCGGGGCCAAAGTACACTTAGACCGTAGCCGCTATATTTCAACGGATGACGCCGGGTCCATTACATGGAGGGGGAAACCGTCATCCGACTGGCTGACAAGTGATTGTGTGCGTCAGCAATCGGGGTAGCAACGCTAGGTGACTAGTAGGGATAGATTGGCTGGATTTGAACCTCTGCTCAAGTTTCACCGCCGGGTGCTGTCCTTGCGGTTTGTGCGCCGGTGGCTATGTTTCGCCCCTTGTTTTCCGCCGAGTTCGACGATACTCTGTCATTACGCGTCCTCGGCGTGACACGCTTTTACAGTCATGATGCTCCTTCTTGAAAGAAAAGAGCGCAGGACTCTCGTCACCTCTTGCTTCGATTGATCCGGCTGTCAGGAGCGAAGGATCCGGATCCCCGCTGTCTTGGCCCCGGAACGCACTCCCGGTTCAGCGTCTCGTTTCACGACCTTTGGTTGACGTGGGAGCATGGAGATACCCAACTTTCGAGGGATTATGATCGCGGGGATACGAGAATGTGCAATACCAAAAGGATGTGAGGTAGAGACTTTGCATTAGCGCCTGCGGCCCCTTTCACTTACCTATCGATTGTTCGCTGAAGGGTGGCGTCCGCGTCCTTGCTTCCTCTTTCCCATCCCCGCCCCTCATAATCTACCTTGGGATCTGTGGCCTGAAAACTTCAGCGTGCACGTTTTGTTCTCCGGCTGGTACAAGAGAGGCAGAGACAGAAAGGAGGACTGCGTCTGGGCGGTGTGTGTACCGCCTGTCTGGTCTGCAGGACCTTAGAGGTCTTGGCACTTAAATGCCGGTTCTAATTGCCCCAGAAAGAGGGCTATCTACTCACATGGATGGACCGCATGCGCCGAGATCAGGGGAGAGAAATTGCACCTGGAGCCATAAGGCTGCTGCGAGGACAAGATTAGTGGCAGCATTCTTCGCGAGAGCGTTGAGCTATGAGATCCTCTATTCCCCGATCTAAAGAAAGAGCCCGCTAAGATTGTGTGATAGATTTCCCTCCTGTCGATACATTATATCTCTGAGCGACGCTTTTCCATGCACGTTCCCTTCTCATCACAGTATCTTACCTGAATCCCAACTCAGCATCCTCCTTCTCTGACCTTTATTTGTACCTATCCTTGCTTTTACAACGATATTCCATATGACTTCAACCATAGCGCCGCTGTCAATTCCATGCCATTCCACTCGAGAAGCCATCAAATGCGTCCTGAAATCCAGACTACTCATCAGGTAGGCCGGGCGACCCTGGTCGGCGAACGTCAGGCCTGTATATAAGCTGCGGAAGGTAGACCTCGGCCCCCTCGTCGACGCTAGTCGTGGCTTCTAGACTAGACTCGGCTAGGTCTTGAGAGAAGAGGCCATCGAGATTGAGAAAAGAGGCCAATGTCCTTTTCTTCTGCTTCGATCATTGTGTCTGATCAGTAAGGGGTTCTTTATCAGGACAAAAACACGACGAATGAAGACACACTCCTTTCTAGAACGTCTATACTGCCATTGAATGGCCCAAGTCTCTGGTAGAGCTTGTGGGGATTTTTGATCAGGTATGCCAATCCAAACACAACAAGAATTCGTGTCGTGGTGAGGACATAGAGATTGTTCTCCCAATTAGATTGTTGAAAGGTCATTTTTAGAAAAGTTCCGTAATGTCAGAGGATCAGACTAAGTCGCATTTGAAAGTGCAGAGGAAGAGAATTGGGGATACTGAGATCAACGATCAACCACTCGTTCAGCGCGTCGAGTATCGCTAGAAAGTGCTCACATGCCAGAACCAACCAGCATCGCTTCAAAAGGATGCGAGGACCCACATCGTGGGGCCAGCTTCTGCGAACGGGTTAGCGTCTGTGCCTAGTCCTCGTCATTCGCAGAGACCGACGGAAACAGAGCGGGGGGGGGACGCAAAAGTCATCAGGACTGGAGCAGCGACAGGAACAAACTGCTCCCATTAACGTATCGTGGAACTATAGCACGACATTGGAATGGGACGATGCGGCCTGCGGGAAGCCTAAAACGGCGGCTCTACATGTGACAAGCACCTGTCAGACTTCAAGCAGCCCGCCATCTCCGTCCAGCCTAGCTTCCTTTCCTCACCAGCAACTTGCCCATTTTTCCACACTTGGAGCGTGTACATTTACGAGTGACAAGCACCATCGCATCTGATTTAACGGTGTATGCGCATGGCTTCTCTACGAGAGACTAATAAACAACAATTACGGGCTCTGGTTGCCGCGGGCCTTACTCCGCAGTGTGGAGGTTGCAGAGTCACGTGATGTGGAAGTAACGGGGTTCAGATTTGATGCGATCTCCTCATTCAATAGACCCTCGAGATACTTGATCGATGCACTCTCACATTCAGCCCCGCAATGAAGTACTGTTTCTGGACGTTGTCAGGGGGGGGCGGGACCCTCCTGGACTGCCTTCCTTGTAAAGTCGTCTTCTTTCGAGCAAAGAGAGGAAACAAGGATCCTTAGCGTCAATATCCTCGAGATCGTAGGACTTGATGGATTCACATTTCTACACTACTCTACACTTTCGAGTATTGCAACTCTTGGGCAGGGAGAAAGTAACCTTTTCAACTAGGACAATGGGACAATCATCTTTTACGCCAGACGGTATTTCCGCTTTGATTCAAAAACACCTTCCTTCCCAAGCTGCCTCTTCTTCAAACGTGCCGATTATAGAGAACAGCCAAACAAAAACCTTTTGGATCCTTGGACAAGCTTGTGATAATAAAAACGCGCAAGACGAGAAATGGGAGCGAAGGAAAAAAAACCCCCCCCATTCGGAACCGATCAGATCTACAGCATTGCCAGCAACACCCTCAGCGCCCCGGCATCGAAAGTCGTCGACTTTCAAACCATATCCCCGCCCCAGCGTCCCACGCACTACGGTCCTGTCCCTCGTCCATACATGCGAATCGTATGGGCCGAATGACGCGATTCCCAAAGATGGGCGAATCGTGCAAATATCACCGTAGGGTGATTGTCCAAGGGAATCGACAATACCGGGCACGAACCTAGCCTCGGAGAGTGCAAGCGCTAGAAAGGAGAGGGCCGCGAGGACACGCACCGGGCAGGGAGGGGCGAACGAAGGGGGTGCATTTGGGGGATCGGGAAGGATTGCCAGTCTGGGGTTCGAGGCGCTGGAACGAAGATCAAGAGGGAGAAGAGGTGCGGTAAGAGGACGGTGGAGGGGAAGGGGAAGGGGAAGGGGAATGGGACATCGGCGGGTGATGTGGCGGAGACATCTGTTAATCAGGGGGGAAAGTTGTGTCGAGGCTGAGGATGCGGGTCTAGAAGAAGACGACGACGATGACGTTGCGGCTGTTAGGGGCAGTGGAGATATCGGCGAAGAGGACGACAGCGCTTTCGGGACCTAGAGGGCGAATACAAAAAGAAAGAAGGCAAGAAGCCGAAGAAAGAGAGAACGCCGCGAGCAATTCCCAAAGCCGACACCTCGACTCGCGAGATCCAATGTACGGGCCCGTTGGAACGGGGAGATGGCCTCGAAGTGGCCAAAAGGGGCCGGAAAAGTTGGCGGATCTACGGGCAACGGTCGAGTCGACGCGGTGCCTTCGAGCGTGGGGCGGGGAAAGTGTGCGGATCCCGCGGGGCTGAAAGCAAGGGGGTCGCCGTCTTCGCAATTTGGAGTGTCGAGCAAGGGACTATGCTCATGTGCGAGGAAGGGTTGCGTTAAAGGCCAAAGGACGCATCTCTAGAAGCTGTCGCTAGAGGGTTCATGCGGCTGTCGGGTCATATGCGTGGAGCCGGGTGATGGGGTGACTTTAGGTCAGCAAGTGGCGTGGAAGAACGCAATCGACACAACGATCCGCACGGTCGGCGCGCGTTAATGGTGCTGGGGTCTTGAGGACTCGGGACTGTCCAGAATCCTCGCGATACGGCAGATCAAGGGGTTGAAGATTGGTGGAGGTGGTGATGCGGTCTTCCCGGGTATCGCGGGTCATTCGTTCCTGCTTCCTAATGCGCATATCCTTTGGAATGAGATATTGGGGAGAATGATGGTACATGTGACGAGGGATGTTGTGACAATGGATGAGATTACAGCGAAGTATCTTAATAATCTCGAAGGTTTCTTGGACCGTGAAGCGCGGAGTCAGAAGTCGGAAAATGGGTGAATATAACGGCGTTCAGTATTGCGAGCGAGAGAAGAAGGGTCGATGCAGCTCGCCCGGTGGAGAAGTTTCAGAATATGCAAGAGCGGGTGGGGGCGATGGAGAATGCATTATGAAAAATGAATAATCCAGATACCGCGGTGGTCTCAGGTGGTATTCAGCATAGAGGAGAAAGATTGGATCAGAAGCGGCTGGATATGCTGAAAGTTGTGCGAGGGCAAGCGGGTTTGCTTGAAGAGCAACGGCTGCTGAGTATTGGACTTGTTTGGAAGTCTGTCATCCTGGTCTTCTTTCGGAAACCTTCACTTCAGTCTGATAGAGCTGACAGCGATAGACGCAGTTACCGGGAAATCGCAACGCTGAGTGCTGGGACTGAAAAATTCGGGGAAGCATGTGAATGGATTGAGTCAGCTGCTCAATTGGCGTTGATATGTGGACAGATGGATTATGAGATATTTCTAATTTGCGAACAGGAGTTCCAGTGGTACACGAACTGTGAGTGGCCGGGAACTTGTGCGGCAGGAAGCGGAAGACGCCAAGATGTGTAGGCGTATGGAAAAGAAAGGGGTTCTTCCGCAAAACTCACTCGTGAGCACGATTTATCCCACCACGGAAGAGGAGCTGGCCAATAAAAGAGAGGAGAGGCTTGCCAAAGAAAATGAAGAGAGACTCGCCAAGGAGACGGAAGAGCAAGAGATGGCGCAAGACCAAGGCAGGCAAAGTGGACCTTGGGCATCTGGTAATGAGAGCGAATCTTGGACATTCGCTGGCATCCCCCTGCAATCTCACAGCGGACGCTGGACGAGGGTAGCCCAAGCCATAAGCTGCTGGTCTGGTAAATGTGGCTATCGTAGCTCGGGACCAGTCTCGACACTCGATAATTACGCGGTCCGTCTGCAAACTCAACGCTCGTGGCCTTTTCCTCCTCATTATGTCAATACCATTGATTGACGAGCGCAATCAGAGAGGAGGACAACGTGGGCTCGTAGCCAGGTATTTCGAGATGGCATATTCACCAACGTGGCTTCTCGTGGGTAGTGCAAGACCTTTCAAAGCTCCATGGTCAATGTAGACAGAAATGGAGGCCGGAGCTTTCTCCACTATCTCAAGAACGCCGCGTCACTTCACCTGCCTCTGCAGAACATATGATGTTGGAGCCCCAAGATATTGCGTCTGTACTGAATACTTATTTCTTGCACGAGTCTTTCCTGACAGTCTGTCGCCCGGTCATGTGCAGCGCACGGAGGGTAGTGGCCTATCTGTGGGCGGCTCTCCCATTTTTTCCGGATTTTTCCCTTCTAAAGTAGGAGAATGATTCAGTATAGATTGTTGAACAGGCCAAGATCTCGTCGCAGATGTGCAAGGTGTAGTTCCTTCCGCTCCCTTGTTTGTCCACGGTCAGGATGATCCCTCTCTTATAGCGGTTTTCCAGGTGGAAATTCTAGGTAATTGCGTCCAATCTTTCATACCCATCGACGCACTCTGGGCTGTGGACTTGGCAGCGTCCATGTCATCATCACTCCACGCTATGAAGCTTATTCATATAAGGGACAAAGTGAGTTCCAAATCATTGACTATTATAATCAATCATAATAATAACATTGATAATACGAAGAGAAGATATTAGAGAAGAGGCCAAGTAATAATAGACCTCGAGGCTGAGACCATACTAGTCTCGAAGAGGGAACGCCCAACATCACCGACCGAAGCTTGCCTTATCTTTGTCCGCTCCTTATCAGTTGGCTGCGCCGCGCCTTCCCCTGTTTCCCTTTTTCCTTTTTCCTTTTCCTTATTTTCTATTTACCCCCTGCCACCCTTCACCTTGTATGGCCATCTTCTCAATCCTTTAGGCTTCACGCTTCCTTCATATCTCATCTCCCGGGAATTCCAGCTGGAAGAATCCAACACAAGTGTGACACGAGACGGACATCTCGCTCGTCGACCCGGCACAGATGCGATACCGTATGAGATCCAGCAAAGCTAGAGGCTAAACTTTCCCCAGATCTCCCTATCAGCCTTTCTTCATCTTCCCACTGTACCGTTACTTTATATACTTTCGACTATGCCCGATCTCACCCGCAGAAATCTAGACCAATTCATATTCGTCATGAGAAGCGAGACATGCATGCGGCGTTTAACGCTTATCATCTCACGCTGATTGGACGCCCCCCCCCCCAACCCGCTGAGACCGTTCTCGCCGTTGATCCCAGGCCACACACTCATGACACTCATGTTACTGCGTAATGTATAACCATGATATAAACCCTGATAAGACAGCAAGATCCTATTGGCCCATTTAATCACTTGCACAAGACCAATTACCCCGAACAATGACACCAAGAGGAATACGATACATGATTCATCCCGTATCATTATTGACCCGTCGAGACGAATGCCATGGCATGATATCGGTCCTTTGTCATTGAGCCATGTGGTCATGTATTTCCCCGGGATTGATCCTCCTCCCTTCCTAACCATTGATGCCGGCCATGGGACTGCGCTAAAAGGCTGCTTATCTGTAAGGTACAGTCAAAGGTGTGATGCATGCCTTGAGCCCACCTTATCAAGCTCTCCCCCCCACCGGCCCCAAATCTGCATCATGCATCTCCGTGAAGCTCTATCCACCTGGGCTAATCTAGACCAAAGCTCGTACCACCGAAGTGCAGCCTCACGCCAGCTGCTTAGTCTATTTACCTACACGACTGACATTACTATTCGCGTCGAGATCCGCGGTAACATGGAGCTCAGATCAATATATAGATCTGCCCCCCCCGGTCTCGGAGTCTTCCTTCTCTCATCTCTCCATTCCACCTTTGCTTCACCCATTATCGGCCTTCCTGGCCAAGGATTCCTCGCCCTCTCCCATTCTCACCACCCACCGCCAAGATGACGTCCACCTCCGCCTCGGTAGTAGCTGGGGCAGCCATCAAAACCGCTCAGGCAACTGCCGCAATCGCGAGCGCATCATCCTCGAGCAATCCAGTAGCACCACCATGGCTGGATCCAGGTCACAACGCTTGGCAAATCACCGCGGGCACTTTGGTCGCGCTTCAATCAATTCCCGGTCTCGTCGTCCTCTACGCGGGATGGGTCAAGCACAAATGGTCCATCAACTCCGCCTTTATGGCTTTCTACGCCTTCGCCGCCGTTCTCATTTGCTGGGTCATTTGGGGGTATCAGATGTCTTTTGGTACTCAAATGTTACCACTGGTGGGTTATCCATCAATATCGGTGGACCTGGGCTTCGAACTCGAGGATTCCAATCTGCCCACGGCCGATCTGACCCAGCAATTCCCCCAAGCGTCCATGGTGTACTTCCAATTTGTCTTCGCGGCCATTACACTCATACTGATCGCGGGATCATATCTTTGCCGGATGAATTTCGTGGCATGGATGATCTTCGTCCCGCTGTGGCTGACATTCTCCTACACTGTCGGCGCTTTCAGCATTTGGGGCGGAGGATTCCTCTTCAAATACGGCGTTATCGACTATTCCGGTGGATATGTCATCCACTTATCATCCGGGACGGCCGGCTTTGTAGGAGCCTGGTGGATAGGACCTCGTTTAGCATCCGACCGTGTGGACGCCAAGCCCAGCAACGTCACACTCATGTTGGTCGGAGCAGGGATTCTATGGACGGGATGGAACGGCTTCAACGGAGGAGATCCGTATGCCGCCAGCCCCGATGCTGGTGTTGCCGTGCTCAATACCAACATCTGTACCGCGATGAGCCTTCTGACTTGGGTTATTATGGATATCATCTTCTTCAAAAAGCCGTCCGTGATAGGCGCTGTGCAAGGCATGATTACAGGCTTGGTCGCCATCACTCCTGCAGCTGGTGTGGTGGCTGGATGGGGCGCTATTCTTCTTGGCCTGGGCTCAGGCACCGTTCCCTGGATCTCCATGAACATTCTCGGCAGAACGAAGATCATGCGCAAAGTCGATGATACCCTAGAGGTCTTCCACACGCATTTCGTAGGCGCCATTGTTGGAGGCGTCGGCACCGGTAAGTCAATCTCCGGCATCCCTCACCACTCCTCGTACTGACCCTCATCGTCCAGGACTCTGGGCAACCAAGAAAGGCTGCGCCGCCTTCGGACTCACGAACCCCGGCGGGGCCGTCGCCGGCAACGGCCGCCAAATCGGCCTGCAAATCGTCGGCGCCCTCTTCATCATCGGCTGGAACATCGTCTGGACCTCGCTCATCATGTGCTTCATCAAATACGTCTGCCGCGTCCCCCTCCGCATGACGGACGAGATGTGCGAAATCGGCGACTACGCCATCCACGGCGAGGAACCCTACACCTTTGAATACTACAACCGGAACTACCGGCGGCTCGCCGGCTTCGAGCACCAGGGCCCAACGGACGCGGAGAAGGCGATCCGGGAGGTGCGGAAGAGTCACGACGTTGAGCGGCAGCACGATTTCGGCATGGGCAATGGTGCGGGGGACGGCATCGTCATCAAGGGGACGGATCCGGATGCCTCGAGGAACAGTACGAGTGAGGAGATTACGCCGACGAAGGAGAGCAAGCAGGAGTGAGGCGGGGAGAAGCATGTGTGTTATGGGTGCGAAGTGTGTTTTTAGGTAGCTTGGGTGGCGAGCAGATCCGATCTCGGGGAATCTGGTCGCCAAAGCTGTTTGCATAGAGTGCTGTGATATCCCGTGGGTTGTACGTTTACCGACTCATGGGTCGAGTGACGATTCGTGTACGATGTCTACACTTATTACCATCACATTTTCGCCCGCCGTCCATTCCCGAATCCATGACCATTCTCTCAGCCTATCCCATTTGCCATGGCGCTTTCATTGATCCATGGCATATTCGGTGTATGCGAACCTAATCCTCTTCTTGCGGGACCTATGTTCCTTCATATTTATATTCCAAAAGGTATCGACATCTGAAGACCGTTTGATCCCTCTCATCCATCTCCCTTATTTAAATCCCGTCGTCGACCGTAATTCTGTTCATCTCATACCAATCAACACCCTCTACAGTTCAGTTTAGTCCAAACCAAACAAATCAAACCAGACCGAACCAGACCAAACCAGACCAGACCAGACCAAACCAAACCAAACCAAACCAGACCAGACCAAACTAAACCAGACCAAACCAGACCAGACCAGACCAGACCAGACCAGACCAAACCAGACCAAACCAAACCAAACCAAACCAAACCAGACCAGACCAAGCCAGACCAAACCAAACCAAACCAAACCAAACCAAACCAAACCAAACCAAACCAAACCAAACCAAACCAAACCAAACCAAACCAAACCAAACCAAACCAAACCAAACCAAACCCCCCCCCCTCCCCTCCCCTCCCCAACCCCCATCTACGCCTTCCCCGTACTCCCCAACATATCCATACACTCCTCAATCGCCTCCTGCATGACCCTCGTCCCCCTCTCCATCGTCTCACTGACCCCCAACCCCCCCTCCCGCTGCACCTCCAAATAGCGCCGATTCAACACGCCATTGATATTCACCTTCGTGATCCCCGCCTCAACGCACTCCTTATAGATCCCGCCATCGAACCCGTCCGTACCATGCAGCACCAACCTGACCTCCCCCCCCACGGCCTCCCTCACCGCCCGCAAGCGTTCATACTCGAGCCGGATCCCCCTACGGCCGTAACTGCCGTGCACGTTCCCAAACGCCGGCGCGAGCCAATCGATACCCGTGTCGACGAACCGCCTCGCCTCGGCCGCACTCGTCATGACGGCCTCCAGATCGACCGTATCCGCCACGCCATCCTCGCCGCCCATGATGCGGCCCGGTTCGGCCTCGCACGCGATGCCCCTGGCGTGGCAGTAGCGCACCAGGTCCGCCGTCCGGGCCAGGTTCTCCGCTTTGTCGTAGTGGCTCATGTCGAGCATGATGGAGTCGTAGCAGGCGGTGTCGGCGGCGGCGTGGACGGCGGCGGCGGACTGCGCGTGGTCCAGGTGCAGGGTGATGGGGACCGGGGCGGCGCGGGCGGCGGCGGCGGCGGCTTGGGCGAGGAGGGCGCCCGAGTAGGTTTGCGCCCAGGGGAAGAGGAGGAGCATGGCCGGGGAGCGTTTGGCGGTGGCGGCGCGGACGGTGGCGAGGATGCCTTCGAGGTTGTACTGGGGGGGTTTGATTGGTCAGTTGTTCGCTGAGGGAGGGTGTTGGAGGCTTTGTGGGGTGATGGGGATGAGCAATGGGTGGGAGCGCGGGGGATGGCAGGTTGCGAGAGCAATGGCTGCGAAGGGCTGGGTTGGAGGTGGTAGGTAGGTGTGGAAGGAAGGCTCATGGGCGGGAATGCGAAGGAGGTACAAACTCACGACGCAGACGCCAGCGATGCCGTATTTGCCCTCGGCGGCCTTTCGCAGCATGACGTTGGCTTTGTTGTGGGACAGGTCGAATTTGGGCTTCTCGGCTTCTGGTTCTGCCATTGCGGAGGCTGGAGTCGGAGATGCTGATACTGCGTGAAGGGATGGCAATGCTGGTATCAGTGATTTGGCGAGGCTTCAATCAAGTCAATGTCGACATGTACTATGTAGCGAGTTCTTGATTACGGAAGAGTGTGTCGCTGTACGCATCTTGTTTGTTGCGGAGATAATGACGATGGCTTGGCGTTCCAATCACCGAAGAGGTGCCGAGATGTTCTGATCGGCGGCCTCAGCATCGTTCTCTCCTCCAGTTTACCCTTTCTCTGCCGGCCTTGCTTTCGAAAATCGAGATAGAACTCACAATGGAACAGGCTGTCTCATTTGATAATGGAGCTATTGCACTTGAGGATCTCAAGGACTGTCACCTAAAGAATCTACCTTTCGATACCCCAGCGGATATAGAGCGGTACTGGACCCTTGCTGCGGAATGCATCAAGTCGGACTTCGTCATTGAGGGTGGAACACCTCTTGTGGATATTGACATGGAAGAAAATCCGCCCTGCAAACTCCCAGCGGAGATCGTCCAGATGGAACAGGCAAGTGCCGCGGGAGACGTCGCAGCAGCCGAAGAAATCTACCACGAGTGGCTTGCCCAGCCACAGGACAGCGAACGAGCTCACATCAACCATTTTGCAAGCTCCTTTGCGATTGCCATGGCGCACGGCCATCTATCCATTGCTTCATACCTCTTGAAAGTCGGAGTACCCATGAATTACCGGCACTTCGAACTAGCGATAGAACACAAGTCTTATGCATTCCTTCAACTGTACTTAGACTACGGCTATAACATCAACAAATCACCCGACTGGGCCACTCCACCGCCGCTCTTGTAAGTAGTCAATTGTCTTCCAAAGCTTATTCGTACTAAGTCTCTCTCAGCCAAGCCTTCCAAGATGATGCACTTACGCGATGGCTACTTGACCATGACGCAGATCCAAATGCCCAATGTGTCTTGGATCTGACTCCACTTTCCATAGCGATGTGTTACGCACCATTCCCAACCATCGAAATGCTCTTCCGTTACGGCGGATCTATCGAGCATGGGCAGCTTTTACATCATGCCGTGCGGCGGGTTCTTGCCGATCGCGTCAGGGTAGTCAATTATATCCTCGATATGGGTCCCCCAATCAACGATATCATGTACCAAAACCAGCCGTATAATTACAGCCTACAAGAAGATTTCGGTATTGGGACTGCATTACACGGAGCCGCTGAGCACGGCTACTTGGATGTAGTCGAGCTGTTGTTAGCCAGAGGCGCAGACCCCTTGGCTAAAGATGCAAAAGGGAAACTCCCGATTGAAAGGGCTCGGCGCGAAGGTCGGAAAGAGATTGTAAATTTTCTCCTTCCTCTCTCTTCTTAGTTGTTGTTTGCCTCTCTGGGTTCCGGACAAGCGGTGCACCGCTAGGTCTTGGAATACTTGCGCGGATCGGCCGTTTTACTGTAAGTCCCAGGTGGAGCAGGCTTCAATTACACATTCTATCTACCATCATTCCCCACACTCGTTCCTCGACAGCATCGTCGTGCGCACCCACCGTTACAGCGGCAGTGCACCATCTCGGCTGGCAAAGCGGCGCAGGTACGGCGTAAAAACGTCAAGCGTCTGTCGAGCTACTATAAGATCTTCCGCCGAGAGCTTGCGGCGAAAGGGCGGATTTCTCCAACGCAGACTGATAACGTCAAGGGAACCGCAACATCATTCCTCAAGAAGTCGAATACGTCAGTCACACGTTTCCTGGCCCTCCACAATTGCCCAAGAGGCTCATGAGATACATTCAGAGCTTGGTCTGAGTTTTACGAATCGCCCATCCCAGTACACTATTGCGAAGTATCCGTCATCATTACCGTGGCTGTGCCATGTGGCTGGGTATCCTGGAATGTGATAAAGATGGTCCGTACCTGTTCACTGCCTACCATGAGTATCTGGTGCTGCGGCAGAATTGTAGGAGCATCGCCTCCGTCGCTCTCAAAGAGCGTGCCAGAGCAGAACTGAGAGTGCTGACAAACAAATGCCTACATTGAACCTCGTACGTATTGGCAGACTAAAGCGTATATTCGATAGGGTACCACGTGCAAATGCCTTCGTATCGGACTCGACTAGAACATAGAACTCATGTCAAAGACATCGGTAAGGAGTTTCTCATGTATTATGAGCGTCAACCTCCATATCCATAGCACTGAGGATCCAGCTGAACACACAGAGGGAGCCTTGGACCGTTTATAGCGCAGTACGGAACCGCAATCATATGACCAGTCCCTCCACATGATACCGTAACTACGAATGGTTGTGTCTTTTTCACATAGCTTAGTTTATACCGCGCCTTGTTTTCAAAGACTCTTACCTCTCTCTCTCTCTCTTCCTTTTTTCAAAATTTCAAGAACGAAAACAGGACAGAAGATCCGATCCAACTAGCAGTATACTGGGTTATTCCAATATTTCCTCCGAGTAGGAGGACTACCGCCCACACCGGCAAACTTGTTCTGGAAGAACCTAATTCTCAGGCAAAGAGTATCTGAGTAGTCTCCAATGCTATGATTGCCAGTACCTAAATAGACATCTGCCAACGATACCGAGACATAGGTTTAAGCGACAATAAACGACTTACAGTCGTTATAGGTCTGCCATAGGATATCCCTTGTTGCAATGGACTGATCGCTCGCGATAGGATTAGCGGGGTCTTGTGAGTTTACCGCAACACATCCGGGAATCCAGCCAATATTCATAAAGTAATTCAACCCCTTCCCCGTCACGACCTCAGTGCTATTCGGAGTCAGCGGCGTCATTGGCCCGTTCGGAAGTTGGGCTCCAATCATCGCATCGGCGGTCGAATTGACTGTTTCGGGGTCGATGGCGGTCCAGCAGTGGCTATCCCATCGTCTGGCTGGGGGTAAAATTCAGGGGTTCCGACCGAACATCAAAAACACCCCATAGATGTTAGTGTAATTCGATGACGCCTACTTTCACAACAAAATACTTAGTGTCGCGATTAATCTTTATAAGCAGATCTAAGATTCTATAATAGAAAATAAGTCTGTATTCTTGTCTTTCAAAGTCGTTGTGTGATGAACATACAGATATTGGATGTTCTGCCAAACATTTTCCCCCGACGCCGATGGGATAGCTGGCCTGGTATGTGTTACAGATCACCGGTCCAACAGTAGCCGACGCGGCTGCTGCAGTGCTAGTTGTAAAAGTCGGAATCTGAGGGCTTGACGTCGCCGCTGGTGCCGGACAATTGTCCTCTGTCGGCTGCGCGGTATATGTGCAATTTGTCGTCGTGGTTCCCGAAACGTTGGCGGTAAGGAAAGGAGCGAAGACGCCGGCACCTTCAGGACAGATGCAACACGGGTCCGCGCAACCGTAGACTGAGCTCGTGGATCTGTCCGGTGGATCAGAATCGTCTCCGTCACTTTTTGCCGATAAGAGATTACGAACGTGCAGATAGGTGCATTATTTGTTGCGGAGGGCGTCGCCGTCGGCGCATTTGACATTGCCATCATTGCAGAGAACAGCGACGCTCCTATTGCCAAAGCGTTGACGTTGCCTGCGACTTCTACATCTGTTTGTCAACGTTTGAAGTATGAGCAGGCTCATTGAGTTGCTTACGATTTGCCTGGTTGTACTGTTGTACACATACTTGCATTCACACATGGCGTATTTTCGCTGGATTCGGATCAGCGCTGTGTCCAAACACTTCCAGATCTTGCCCTTAGGTAGAACTGACCCCTTCTGGACAGAAAAAGGAAGGAGCTCGTACATTGCAGCCGGCGTCGTCGCAGGCAATCTTCACGGAAAAGTCAGTGAACAACGCTTACGACATAGCAGTCCACCAATCTCCTCACATCATCTGGGCAGTCGTCTCCACTTGCAGTAGCGACTGCTGCTTCCGGCATTTAAGCGTACCCGAGCCCACTTGGCTAACGACTAGGATGCCCGGGTCAGGGCCGGCGGCTGCCAGGGCATTGGTGTCGGAGGTCGAAAGCCCCAGTCTTATGGGCTCGACTTCCGAAATACCGTTGGTGTAACTGATAACATGATCATTTTCTGCGAGCAACACTGCCACACAGGCGATCATGCCGGTTATTGCCAGCACGGGAAGGGTGATGAACTTCTTCGACAGAGCGTTGCCGTAGCCGTAGCCCAGAGCTTCTTGGATTTCCGTGATGTTGCTATTTGCCTCTGCCACTTTGGCGATCAGGTTTGCATCCAGAGTCAGGAATGTCGTGTCCTCGGTGTCATCCTGGGATATGATCAAGGTACCTCCGAAGATACTGGTTGTCGCAGGATTCGCTGCCTGTGGCGCTGTCAACCTTGATGCACTTGACGTGTCTCGACTTTGTATCCTACCGCAGTGCCCGTGACGGGACTGTCTGAAATCACTACAATGGTTTGTCCGAATGAGTGAAAGGTAAAAGTAAGCACGGATATAACGACAAGCAATGCTCTAAAAGAAGCCATGATTTATTTATTTTCAAAATCAAGCAATGCTCACGGAGTTGCAGTTCTTGGAAGGCTTGCGATATATCAGATCTGCAGAGTAGACCACTGCGATTTCATGACTGTTCTCTCGTATGTTCAGAATCGAAATGAGCGCAGCAAGAAGATTCAGGAGGCATGATAACGTATGAGATTGATTATGAGCGAAGCGAATAGTGAGACCACGATTGATGGAGTACTTTCATGACACTGTCAAGTTCGCAGATCATAACGCTGTAAAGCTGCGCCTCCGAGTCCCCATGCTCAATCGCTTGCCAGCATTTCCCTATCATTGACTGCTAAAACCCCATTCACCAATCCGACAGTGTCTGACTACTAGCATCAGTCTAATATATCAAAACTTGTCAAAACTGAAAGGTCCGTTGGACATGGTATGCATTCACAATTGGCTGGGCTTTTCCTATTGTACCTGTGCACCCTAAAACGTGAAATACCAATAGACTTCGCGCGTGAAACCCTAGTGTCTTGGAGCCAGAATCATCCAACAGGATACCCAATGCTCGAGTCCACGTTTCAATTGTACGTCACTACCCACCGACGGTAGACGAAGGCGAAAGCAAGCCAAGATGCCTGCCCTAGGCTGTATTCCGTCATCGAGCTTCACTGTCCATACTACCTATGCTGGGGGCTGAGCTCCAGTACTAGGATCATGATTGTAAAACAAATTGTCTCTTCATCTATTCAAATGTTTCAAGAGTTCTCTAGTCTGGTTTTCAGTTATTGCGAGGAAGGAGGAAGGTTCGGGGAAGGCAGCAAGCATGCATAGAATGGTCAGCAAGACAAAACATTATTTACCGAGTATTAAGAAATGACATTTTCTCCATCGCTATTAGCAAAAGCACCCCGCGCACAAGAACTTCGCATCCCGATTGTTTTCCACTCCAGTACGATCGTTGCCTCCCTAAACGTATCGATGCCTGTCTAGCTGTTCTCTTCTCCAAGTATAGCAATCAAAATGCTAAGCAGCTTCTCCAGCAGTCCTGCTTCTTCTCTCTTCCTTTTGTCCCTCTGCGTCTTTCAATGCAACACCTTTCTCATCCACACGCTATCTGCCCAGTGTAAGCCCAACTAACGAATACCTCCGCCCAAGCGATACACTAGGCAACCTGAGGCAAAGCGCTGCCGCAGGCTGCGGGCTGCGGGCTGTGCACCTTTCTCAATCGTCAATGCAAGCGAGATAAGATTTGGCTTCCGAAACGGACGACAAGACCGAATCTTATCTTCTTGATCGCGACCAGAGATAGAATGCGAATGCCAAACTGCTCTTCTTCCGTTGCTTTTGGAGAACCCGGGGCATGGTCACCAAGAAATGTACGGAACAAGGTTCTTGTGGGTAGAAGGGATGATTATTCTATGGAGAAGCCTGCGGTATCTATCCCATCAAGCCACCATACTACATATGGCCTAGCTGTAGGAGACGCCTTCCTACTGATACTTTAGAGTATTCCTTCCGTCTTGGCAGTCCTTTTGCCGAAGAGGTGCCGAGTAATCTACCGAGATCTGTCCACTTTCACGCATGAACTCTCATGCATCTAATATGCACGAGTCGAAGATCCTCATTATATCCTGAAGCAGTAGCTTCCTTGTATTATATCTCAGCGATCTCTTCATAAAGATTCATCTCGAGGCTGATGAGCTTAGATGGTCATCCTGATCCTAAGACACAGCCCTCTGCAGCAGTCTTTCTGACAATCCCAGTCTGTTAAGTCCAGAAAATGTATCATCCATTTCACTCATCTGAGTCGCAGGTCAGTTGAATGTCTGGTTGACGTCTGATCAAGTAACCCCCATGATGTCTTGGTCACTTCAAATCGATATACCACAGCCTAGATACAAAGCCGGCGACACCGTGTCTGGGTCCGTTTATCTCGTCAGCCAGCTTACTAAGGGTCAATATGTAGATGTTGGGTCTGTCACGATTGAACTTACAGGCAGTAGCACGACTGCGAAGCTGTGGCCTCGCATTCCCAATCCTATACGACTGTTCACCTTTAAAAAGACTCTGTCCACTGGCCCAAAAAGGCTTTATGCTCCGTACGGCCAAACAGGAAATCATGACCGAAACAAATGGCCTATCAGCTTTACCCTCCCGCTCGATTGCAGCGCGTCTCAGGGGGAACCGTTTACTTCATCGACATACTTCAACACTGATCCCAACCAACCTCTTCCCATCTCTTTTGTGGATGACAACGTCCAAGGTGGATCTTGTTCGGTTGTTTATGAGCTCCAAGCCACACTCATGTCGCCGCCCAAAGATGGCTACTACACGAACGAAGGCTGCGTCAAAAAAGTAGAGATAGCCGTCTACAGGCCCAGGAGCGTAGAGCAGCCGAACTTCAATTTCAACACTAAGAGCATAATATTCACACACCGAAGCTTACTCCTTCTACCCATAGAGGAACGCAAGCTCGCCCACCGCCCTCTTACCCTGAAGGAAAAATTAAAGCTGAAACCACCATCAACCGAGCACTTGCCCAGAGCGGTCTTCGAGATAAGGGTGCAAACACCATCAACTGCTGTTATTGGCCAAGCATTACCGCTAATGCTTCACGTTGATTGCGATTCGGACGCTTCTACGGTGCCACCACCCATCTTCCATCTGAAGAAAGTGACCATCCATCTTTGCGAAGAAACATCCATCTGGGGCTCCAAACGCGCTGGTGGACATGAGTCCACGCGATGGACCAAGGAAATCACACTTCAGGAAAAGGAATTCGATACCAGGAAACCTCGAGTGGAGGAGCATCTAGATTTGAAGAAAGTGATGAACACAATTGTCCATAACGACTTGACACCTACTTTCAAAACTTTTAACATTGCGCGCACCTATTCATTGAAGGTATTTGTCAGGCTGGAATGCGCCGGAAAGGAGCATTTTGTCTTTGGCGATTACAAGCGTTGCACACTGTTGGCGGAACAGTATGACCCACAAACGGCAGCATACAACGAGCCAGCGCCTGTCATGGATGGCGAAGATGCTGACCCTCCACCTCCGTACCATTTCGCCACACAGGAAGCGGTGCCGGAGTATTCGACTCAGGCTCATTGTACGGGGCACCATGGACAAAGTCATGCTGGACAGAACGGAGCCGCAGTGTTAGATATAGCTGAATCCTCCACGGCTGCCGCCTTAAACTCTGCGGCCCCGGGATCCTCTGCTGCCACTCCTTAGCTCAAATAGCGGCAGTGGAAGTGGAGGTGGTGGTGATTGCCAAAGTCGATCTCTCGATGCACCACCGCATTCGGCCCAATATCTTGCTGTTCTGTCAACCAAGCTGAGCCTGGAGCCTGGACAGCCAACCGTGCCACGCACTTAGCTCGTTCCTTGCAGATGATCGCCGTCAACTGACCCGAGACGTGGTCGATATGAATTCCTATGCTCGTTAGTTCATCGAGGTACAATCTTCGGTAAATTCCGAAGCGGACGGCTTTATCTTAATGTCCGAGCGGCAAAGGGGTTAAGGTAACTGCGGGATAAAATGACATCATGAAAATGCTACTTTACTGTTCCCCAACAAGCGAGCAAGTCGAACATGGATGACTATTATTGTTATCATTGATGCCGGCACATTGCTGCACTCCTTCATCCACCTTTCACCTTTCATTCTTCCAATTCTTATATAATCCAGCTCCCCAACGTTGTAAATATACGGAGGCAGATCCATCCACCAAAACATATTTACCCTCACAAGCAAATTTTCCATTCTATCGCTAAGACCACCACCGCAACCATGGCCGCTCTCTTGAACTTCTTCTACACGCAACTTTTCGTGAAGCTGCCATATCCTACCCACTCCTTCTCTGGCCAAACCATAATCGTCACCGGGTCCAACACGGGTCTCGGCCTCGAAGCAGCGCGACATTTCACGCGCCTCGGGGCCGCCAAAGTGATCCTCGCAGTCCGCTCCCTCTCCAAAGGCGAGGCTGCCAAAGAGTCAATCGAAAATTCCACCGACCGAAAGGGCGTTGTGGAGGTATGGCACCTCGATCTCGGAAACTACGAGTCTGTGAAGGAGTTTGCGAAGAAAGCGGAGGGCCTAGCTAGGTTAGATATTCTGGTTGAGAATGCCGGGATTGCGCGAGAGGTGTGGTCTGTTTTGGAGGACAACGAGGCGACCATCACGACCAATGTGGTCAGCACCTTCCTGCTGGGCCTGCTGCTGCTGCCGAAGCTGCGGGAGAGTGGGCAGATGTCCAATGTCACGCCTCATGTGGTTGTTACCTGCTCCGAGGTTCATGCTTGGTCCCCTTTCACCGAGAGAAAAAGCGAGAATATATTCGATGCCCTGAACGACAAAGAGAGTACGGACATGGCCGATAGGTAATTTTGCTTGCCCGTTTTTCATCGGATTCCAACGGAGAAATCCAGCTAATTAGCCGCAGATATCAGGTTTCGAAACTTCTCCAGGTCTACCCTTGCCGCGAACTCGCCACTCGCGCCAGAAAAAGCGGCAAGTCCGACGTCATTATCAACTACCTCAACCCTGGCCTCTGCCATTCTGAGCTAGCTCGGGATTCCGGCTTCGGGCTTGCCGTTTTGAAGTTCTTGTTTGCAAGAAGCACGGAGCATGGGAGTCGCAGTCTGGTCCATGCGGCGGAGGCGGGCGAGGAAACGAATGGGGAGTATTTGAGTGATTGTCACATCGCGCAGTACGTTTGATCATGCCAATCGTCTTGTGTGACGAATCTGCAGGGTTGAGATGGCTGATTGTGCTGCTACAGGCCAGGGCCGTTGGTGACGAGCGAGGAGGGACCCGAGATTCAGAAGAAAGTGTGGGATGAGCTTTCGGCGAAATTGGAGAAGATACAGCCTGGGATTATGGGTAATATGTGATTATGTTCAGCGAATACCCATGGTTCCAACGTCTGGGGAAAGAAGTCTTCCGCGTACGCTCACTCATGAGTGTAGAACGGAGGAAGGCGGGCTTATTCTGCACGAGGAATAGCGCTCACTAGGGCCGAAGGGATCACAGCCGAGTCAGGAATGAAACAATGATTCCTGCGCAACCCGAGATAAGGTAGATACAACGTTGTAATGGAATCAAATTCTCACCTCCCTCTTCCAACTTGCACGCACCTCATCCCTCCCATGCCCATCAAGTCCTAAACTCAACAGAACCCATCTCCTCATCCAGACATTCTTAAATCTGAATCGCCAATGAACAGCATGCCGTAAGCCCTTAACCGCCAACACCCCAACATCCGCACCGATCTCCAGTCCCATCTCAACCCAACCCAACCCAACCCAACCCCTTCCACTCCGATCCAACCATTTCCACCCAACGACCCTGTAGCGCCAACCCCAAACCCCCCTTCCTACCCCAACGAGACAGATCGAACCCCAAACACCCAACGGAACAGAGGAGTACGATTACTGACAGCCGACGCGCGCAGCACAGCAGCGCATGGCCCCATGGCCGACCGTTTGACGAAAGAGCGGGTTCGCCAGCGAGTCGTACCGGTACAAACTAGTGCAGAGACGGACAAAGCGCGCAGACAGGTGCGGGATATTGGGGATGGAAAGGAAGGTGGCGCCGGGGGCTGATCACGAAATCAGTGCCAGTGCTGAATAGATCATCAGATACAGCTCAGGCGTCAAAAGACGACGGTATGCCGTAGCTGGTCATCACGAGATCCGGTCCAGCTTGGTCGGCAAATTCGGGAGTTGGGTGCCTGATCGTGCGGTGCGGGTGGCGCTGCTTGAATGGTATGGCGCGGCGTGGCGGGTGGTGGTGGTGGGTATGATGGAAGGTGGAGGTAATGGAACACCTGGAGTCTATGGAGATGTAGTTTGATCAATCCGTATTTGTTTGAGAGATGGTTTGGTGAAGGTTTGAAGGGGCGTAGAAGGTGAATTCCTCGCAGAGTTCATCGTGTCAAACAGGGGGAGAAGAAGTTTGCGAGGACGCGGTCTTCTGGTGGACTAGGGAGTAGAAGAGCTAATGGGGTCCTCAAAGGACGCAATAACTATGCTGACAAACATGGGTGCTAGATTTACATGTCCTGGTCCTAGGAGAGGCATGTCTATCATCCTTTCCGACTGCAGACAGGAATCCTCCCTTGCATTATGACCGTACGGTTTCCGGTGTGAAGGGTTTTCCGCCACGGTAGCGCGACTGTAACGATATTGCATCAGCAACGTCTCTTAGCCAACTCTATCTACTGTTGAGACTTTGAGTATCGGGCCAGAAAGATAATTGAAACTTGTGTAGGATAAGTTGGATATGTGAAGACTTATATCTGTGACATTTGCGCTGTCTCAACTACGTCGGTTGGCTAGGTTGCCCGTATCCCAAAGACAGGTGGTGATAATGAGCAGAGGGCGGTCTCGGTCACGCTATCCAACCAATGCTGTGCGGAAGTGCATGGCACATTTTCTTCCGTATCAACCACTCCCCCACACCCTAAATGCGCAACATGGCCTGTGTTCTATTCAAGATCGATGACCTTCACGCTCCTTTTCCCCTCGTTCGGCCGACTCTCCTCGCTTTCCTGTGGAATCCACTCCCCTCTTATTACCGACGTGATCATGACCCAAACCTCGAATGTGTCAGCCTACGGCAAAGCCAGTCCCTGTGCACGCCGGATGTTTTGAAGCATCTCCAGCGCTTCCTTACAGAACAATCCTTCAAAAGCCGTCTTGCTAAATTCGACGTTTTCTTCATCTCGGGCAGTCACCGCAGTGTTCAGTTGTCTTGAGGCTCGTTTAGCTGCCGCGCATCGTGTTACTGAGCCGTTGCAGAGCCGTCCGAAACAAACATAGGATGGCCACGATCTTTGGTACGTAGATCGAGATTCCATGCAGCCAGTATGGAACATCGTAGATGACATTCAACATGCCCACGTATATGTTGGATCTCATTAATAAAACTCACCTCTCATGGATGATAAACTGGTCCATGGGGAGGACAGTCATTCATGGTACCATGTCACTCATCTGATGGAACAAGTCTCCATTAATAGCACATACCAGCCATGGATAACGCCGTCACCCATGAAAACTATACCTTATTGATAGGTATAGTAAACCAATTGCTGTTAGAAGGTTATACCTCCAGTATAGATATAGGCTGAACGAGAATAATTGAATATAACTTCGAATATTGGTACACTGATGTTGTATTACTATATCCAAGATGGGTTCCATAGCCGACGAAGTCATACATGGACGACACATGCTGTTGACGAAGATTTGTTCCTTAAGATAAGCGATGGGGTTTTACGAATACACGATTGACGATTGTACTCGCCATGCATATCCATACTGGCCAGAGGGGAGGCATACTGTCCAAGTGAAAAGATATCCCGCCAATGACAAACAACAAATACAAGCACCAAAAGAGCTGTGCGAAAGTATTGCTGGCTTTCGGAGTATGCTGTGTGGGCTGTCAGTTCAACGACTCGTGCTCGGCACATCGGACAGCTATTTCTACCTCCGTTGTCGGATAACGGCAAAATCCATTTCAAAATGCACCCTTCGCCAAAATGTGGCCGCAGGGGAGCATCACTGGCCGCTCGGGGTGGCTGCCCGAAAGAAGGGTTCACGACAGATATGACACTCTGCGGTGCCCGGAGTTTAGCAGAAGGTGTATGTCGTATGCTTTGATGAAGGCGGTCGATCAGCGTATCTATCGGTAGCAACGGAGTCCTAATAGCGGCCATGGTAAGTCGCTGTTTATGCGTTCTCAAGAATATAGCGGTGATTTCGCTACGGTGCGATGGTGTAGGATGCTGAATTTCCACAATGCTGATATGGAAACAGTATGGCAATGAGTGCAAGAAAAGTGGAACCTAAATCGATGGCTTTGGCAAAGAGACAAAGAGCGGCTGAGACAATCAGCTTTGTTCAATCTTAAAACAACAAAAACACAACCGAGACATCATCTGCCGTGTGTCGTGCTCACAGGGAAGAAATTTCTTCGTCCACTCTAACTTCAGTGTCTCCGTGGATAAAATTATGTGTTCGAGATTCGGGGCAAGTGCTTCACTGAGAAATCGCTCTGATGGAAGGGAATACAGATCACTGCGCCATCTTGGGCCGTTGCAAGCGGACCATATCCATCAATTCCTGGTTCGGAGCGCTCTTATAGAAGCCAGAACCACGCTGCAAGAAGTAATCATCCCAGTACCTCTCCAACTTCGACACATCTCCATGGGACCGCTTTGCGAGTTCGACGGACTGGATGAAAAGTACTGCGGTCTGGAATTGTTTGCACCGGAAAATGGAAACCCAACTAGCACATAGATCAGATGATACGGGCTTTCACTGACATCCCTCGTATGGCTGCACTTTCAAGACTCCACCACGGGGGTTGGTGAGAATTGCATCCCTACGCGACTCTGGTCAGGAACGTCGGGAAAAACAACTCTTATCAAGGTTTGATGTAGGGAGAATTGATCGAGATCGCAGCCAATTCGAAGAATCAACAAAACTCGATGGACGGAAGAGTTTCATGGTCAACGCAGTGATGCGGGCATATCCTGACAATCTCCGGCTCTCAATCTATCGATGCGGATCTGGCGCATCTAGTGCAGGCTCATAGATTACATGACGTTTGCGTCACGGGCCAGTTGGTCAGTGACAATGGGCAATTATTGAATTCACGCCGTGATAAAACCTGTGAAGCTATTAGGGTTCAGGCCTACTCAAATCGTGGCTTTCAAGGCAAAAGACTTGCTCACGCTGCGACTCTATCTGTGAGTCGCATACATTCCCATCAGCGGCAGGGTTGTTGGCATTCGAGACTTTATGGCGGAGATCCAAATCTCGACCCTATTGCAGATGCCGAGGTTAGATCCGATCGACATCGTTGTTCTCATCAATGCTAGATGCTTTTCGGTTCATCCAGAGCGTCTGGTACAAAGAATCCGGACTCTCTATACCTTTGCTTGATAAGACTGGAACAATGACATTGTTCTAGGTCTGCGGAAACACAAAGATAACTTCTCAGTCGGGTTTCAACACGTTCTGCTCTTTGGGTGTCAAGAGGAACAATCAAACATGATACATAATTTGCTCCATCGCCATCTAAACCCTTATTCCAGCTCCCGCATAACTCTTCGAAACCGTCATTCACCAAAGAATATAAGACACCACTTAATCATACTACAGCTTATACCGTTGACAGTATGGCGCGTACAAGCCGATCGAGAAGTCCGAATGCCCGTAACACGACCTTAGCCATACGTACTCGAGATCCCCTGAGACAAAACGACATCACCACACCAGACGCACGTAAGTTCATCTCAACCCAAGCCGACCGGTGCCCATTTCCCGGCTACAGGAACAGCTCCCCTCACCAAAACTCCAGAGCTGAGAGTAAAACAGCCCCATCAGTTGAAACATTCCGCGAAGCAGGCGCAGCTATCCGGGAGCGGTGGACACAGGAGCAGAGACGTCGAATAGCCGAGAATGAAGCAGCGTTGCGTCAGCTTACTGAGGTCGAGCAGAAAGTAGGTAGTCTTTCGATCAAAACGCATCTGCCGCGTGGAAATGATCTGACGGTTCCGGAACAGATCGCCATCATCCACGGCGGAGGGACACCAGCGCAGCGCGCGAATGTTCGCGGGACGCTCTTGGAGCGACAACGTCCGAACACTGTGGACAACAAGAGTCTCATCCCGCCAGTCTCCTCGGCTCGCCCGGGCGTTTCACAAAAGAAGGACACATCTCAAATTCAAGCTGAGCAGACACATAGCATCCGGTACGATGATTTTTCCGAGCTTGATGCTAGGTACGGATCCCCGCCTAAAGCTAAGGCCTCCGAAACCCTGAATCTGACGATCAAATCACCACCGAAGTCCCCTGCCGAAGCCTCCAGCGACAACGGTAAGGGCACAGGTCTCGCGCGCGGTATCACCAAAGAACTCCTTTCACGATACCGGAACACAGACTTCCTCAACACCAATCCGCAATGCACAGGTCCCTGCCCCCTCCAATTTCCGCACAACCAGGGCGCGTATTTGCAGCAGGGTCAGATACCACGTGTGTGGAACGCGCGATGGGGCTATTCAGACCCGCCGAGGAGGATCTGGGAGGCGTGGGTGAGGATCGAGCAGGGACGGGGTAGGAGTTGGGATCGGGTGGAAGTGGATGGGTTTGCGCAGGCTCATTGGTGGGCTGGACCGTAGCGGCGAGATGGTGGGGATGATGGGTTCTGAGCGGAAGAATGACAGGAAAAGACAAGGAATGGTGGCTTGGTGATTGGTTTGCATAGTATTGCCGTGCTCCTTGAGACTTATCTAGAGTAGGGGGGGACCTTGGAGCGGGTTTTTGATGTTGGATAGATTCGTTCAGGATCATCGTCCGCACAGTCTGACGTTCTCGTTCTACATCTCTTCATTAGATCCACTCATGCTCCTATAGGCCATGATCACGAAAATGAGACATCTTTCGGTAGACAAGGTCAACAGCGTCTCTTTGAAAGAATAAATCACAAACTTGCCATATTTCATTCCTGTTTATTTTTGTCGTAGGAAAGGCACTGACAATGATAGCGGCCTTGAGTCCTTCAAATACAAGGGGCTCTGGAGGGGAAATGATATCTTTTAGAGCTGAAGACACAATCTCAACAAAATGGTTGCAAAATAGAAGCTCATTATCGCATTTGATGGAGATGTTATATCAGTATTAAGCTAGGAGAGACTAGAGAAAAGAGACTGTCCCACTCACAGATAATTCCACAGTTGCTCGGATGCAGGTTCGAGTCCTACTATGACACTGGCATGGAAGAACCCAGCAATCAAACCACCAAACCCACCAACCGAGAATGATGAATGACCGCCTCCTTGATTCCAGCCTCTTTTTCGTATCCATGTTTGCCGTCTCCCTACTGTATTAGCTGCGATGTGACGTCCTCGATCTCAGCAGTGAGTTCCTCGTACTCGTTCCACATTTCTTCGGCCCGGTCGCGATGATCCTTGGTCTCTCTCTCATTGAAATCATACAAACACTTACTCTTTCTGACTTCCTCTTTCATCGTCCCCATCTGATCCAACCTCATGTCCAGCTCCTCGGTCTCGCTAGAAAGCTGGACCACCAGAGCGAAGCGTTGCGCCCACCAGCCATGACTGGGAAATGTCCCCGTTCGAGGCTCGCTCATATCCATGATCTGGCGAGAGAGAGAAATGACAAGCATGCGTTGAACGGCATATCTGTCGCTCGCCCAGGTCATACCGGTTTTGGCTCGGTGATAATGGTCTCTCGACTCCTCGCATCGTTTGAGATGGTCGTGATGCTCGTTTTGAGCTTCGATGAGAGCGTTTTGGAAATACTTGAGAGAGCCCCGGAGATGGTCGGCTTCGGTTTCATGACATTCCGATGGTCTTTTTTGGAGAGACTTTCGGAGGTAGTTGGCGTCTTGACGGACCATATTGCCGGCAGGAGACATTGTGGTGTGCTTCGCTAACTGTTGGAGTTGTAGGTGTGGAAAAGGTTGACAGAGTGTCTAAGAGCTTTGCAAAGTCTGGAGACTGTGAAGGCGTTCAAGCGAGTGGAAGAAAATGGTTTCAATTATATCGACACTGGAGCCCGGCCATGCACAACAAAGCCATCACAATGACTTTGTTGCCAGATTTGAATAAAGGAACAGCCTACAAATTTGGCAGGTTGTCTAACAATGGCAGATAGACAACAAAGAAACATTGAGCAAATCCGGTACAAGATTGTGTTTGTATATCGGCAGAATACTTCGCTGGCTGCGATGTTGCTAAACAGAGAGACGTCCGTTGAGTGTACTGGGAAGGCATTAGTATTGAAACACGGGATACGGTAGCAACTCTGTCTTACAGAATCACCAGTCGAGAGTGTCTTAAGAAAAGGATATCCTGCCGCCTCATGTCTCCTGGAAGATTCCTGTGAAATGTATATTGCAGGCTCACAGACTAGCACAGAAACCCTAACAACGTGAGAGATTGTTCATGAAATGATGACGATGTGCCGATGCCCCTGCAAAAGCCGTGATTTATGATGCGAGAATTTGGAGCAGCCATCTGCCATTAGACGGCTACCCGAAGGCCTTTAGAAGATTCCCGACAGAGCAGATAGTAGCATACAACAGACAATCTTTGAGGTTATTAGTTTAGGCATTCCTAAAAATAGCAGCCATCTCATTTGATTGGTCGAAGTCAGTCTTGGCAGCTGGTATGCTTGGCGCTCGTATTCCAGTGGGGCGGAGCCTTCGTACTCCATGGAGTACGGATCCCTACCTATATAAGATGAACCGCTGAACCCCCCCTCCAATCTTGTTCGTGGACGTCCTGCGTCTGCGACCTGCCAAATGGCAGACTACGAGGTCATGGGTAAGAACAAGCAAGGTCGGAAAATCTACAGCGACATCAACCCGTCGTTCCCAATCCACGACAGCCGTGAGAGCGAAGGAGACTATTGCGAGTCGCCCGATCTCCTCAGCAAGCAGCGACTCATTGGACCTATTCCCAAGGGTAGGAAGCACACCATCTTCGCACCTTGGACTTTCGTGTCTATAGTCATCATATGCGCCGTCACTGCATACGCCCTTTTCGTCCTCAATCTCAGGCATCAAGATCAACGTTGGAGAATGCAATCGTCAGCTGGAACGGACACCTCGATATTCAATTTCGGTCCTTCGCCTCCAAAATCTGGACTCAACTTTCCACAAGAATACCCCAAACTTGATATCGATCATTCCACGCTGGATTGCAGGAACGCGTGGCACAGACTCGTTTCTGTTCCCTGCCATGAGCAGATATGGACCAGAAGTTGGGACTATGGCAATTACGATTTTCGTGAACCTGACCTGAACCGCTTCCTTCCGTTGATCTGTAAAGAAGATTGCACCGCCGCCCTCAACGAGGCTCAGAACAGGATCAGCAATTCATGCAGTGCGCAAGATCATTTCAAACTTCGTGACTATGTGGGCAGGTTCGATACTACTCTCCTGGAGCCAAATCCAGTGGCTGTGATGGACATGTTGGTGGCACGTCAGACTCACGACTGCCGGACGAGCCCAATTGGTGACGCGGAGCGTGAATATTGCATGACGGATCTGCAGGAGCGATGGTCTATCCTTGATGGGTTGATGGTTGAACCTCTGCACGGCATCGACGAATTCTTACTTGAGACCAATCGATACAGGATCGAGTCCGGAAAGCGGATGGCTGGCGTTTTTGGCGGAAGAGACTGGCTCGACGAATACAATTACATGCGCGAGGAAAGGAGATTTGGGCCTGGGCGAGGTGAAACATTGTGCAGCTATTGTACACTGGACTGGCTCGGCAGGAAAATGAAAAGTTGGAAGCCAGACTTGATTTACGACGAAGATGGGTTACCTATGGAGCTGCCAGTTTACGTGGCGAGGATATCAAAGGCAGGCCGGAGGTGTGCAGGCGAGAACTTCACGATGATGTGGGCAGACGCCGTAGATCATTACGAGGAGCAAGGCTTACTTGATCGTGAGGGCCAATGGTTACGTAAGCCATCACGCAACAGGTTGTATCTCTTCCAGCATGGTCCTTCTGCTGGAGATACTCCTCTTCCGGAAATCCGAGACTACCTCGAGGAGATGGGAGACTGGCAAAGTAGCCATCCATATCTATCCGACAACGAGGGTGACGAGCTTGACAATCATACTTCGTGCCTTCAAGGGCTGCACGAAGAAATACTCTCGATGACATGTTACCCTTTCTTATCGATCGAAGATCTTGTGTCTAACATCCTGGACAACCCTGAACATTTCCGCAGCAGCTGCACAAGCCATTGCCAGGCTTCGATTCAGAGACTGAGATTTATGACATTCGAGGCATGTCCGGAGTTGTTAGCAGACCAGAAACGCGTTCGGACACTCAAGGGGGGGAATCCTTTCTCACTGTACGAATGGAGAGAACTTATCTTCTCGGACACTGGATCTCTTGCGTTGGCCGAAAATGCTTGTGGTTGGTACTAGAGGGACCCGTCTTACGGCCTGGTCTTTGCGTATTTCAAAACCCCATCCTGAATCACGCAACTGAGTCTAGACGCTCACGAAACTGGAAAGCAAGTGAGAGTGGCGTTGAAGACTCTTCTAGCCGCAGTAGCAACAAACGTTTTGATTTGGGATTTGATGTATAATCCTGAGGAGCTGAACTAAGATGGACATGAAAGATTCAGCAAATGATAGAGAATGTAGAGTACTCTGTATGCACTCCATGCGTATCTCAGCAATTCGCCGGCGCTCAATAATGGCCGAAGAACATTGCAAGTCTGAAAGGGACGGAAGAGACCCTGGGTTAGACGCGGACGTTGCACCTGTTGTATGATCTTTGCGCTGCAAAAGCTGTGGGGTTCGAGAGTCTGAGTTGAAGAACGTCGTCTAGCCTGTGCTAGAAAGGGTAGTGAAGGGAGCCATAGCAGAAAGCTATCAATGGTGCGTTCATACAGATTTTTTATTTCTAGAAGCTATCTAGCGCATGAAACTGCTGCTCGAAGGCACTAGTGGTAGACGTCGAGATAATGAAATGTAGAGGGTTCGAGGCTTTGTGTACCGAGCTCGCAAACCTCGGACATCAAAGTACATCAAGGCGAAGAGCACAAAGAAGGCCAACGACCGTATACCGATCCGCGCGGTAGATTGAGCTAGATACTGTTACAATGGTCTATTACCTTCCATGCAGCCCCCGGTGCTGCCTAGTCCTCTGTCACAATTGTGGTTATCTAGCCACAGATCTGCACATTTTAGTAGCCACGTATCGCACTCTTCACTTCCGTTCTGCAAGAGTCCGGCTACTATATATATACAAGAATGACAATAGTGGAATCCAGGCCCTTTAGTGGCTTACGATCGCAACACATCGAGTGTTGATGACGAGGGAAGGAGCCACCTGCCGGAGTGAAGAACAAAGCGAGAACACGATGTGCTCATCACTTTGACGAGTTGAAAGTCATAACACTCTCTGCCCACACTTCTTCGACTATATAAGCCCAGCGAACTGCTCTCTAACCTCAACAACTTCACATCCTCTCACCATTCTTCAAATCATCATTTTTTTCTACAAAGTCCAACAACTCGAAGAAAAGCCACCACAACAGAATACCATGCCTTCTCTTTTCAAGATCATGATCGCCGTCGTGTTTTACCTCCTCTGCACCGTCGCCGCTCTATCGCCAACACTCGAGCCCCACATGCGCGACCTCAGCATCGGATACCACGCTCTTATCACGAATCTCCGCCATCACGAGTCCCAGACAACAGGACCTTATACCAAGGCCCTACTGGAGCAGATGGTAGACGTGAAAACACAAATAAGTCACATGGCTCGTGAGATGGGATGTCTCGACGAGATGAAGCCTGCCCTGTTGTGTATGGTGATGGCAGTGGAGGTCAAGCGATTGGAAGCCGACATCGTGACCAAGGCGCTGGAATGGTACGATTTTGAGAAGGAAAAGGACGCAAAGGCAAAGGCAAATGCTTAGAAGGGGAAAGGAGGGGGTGGGTTGTTGTCAAGGAGGCAGACGTGGAGGATGATGGGCCCGTTCTCTTATCAGTAATGAAATCATTAGCCTTGCACATCTTTTACAAAGTTGCGTTATAGACGCTTAACCTCACCATCTTCTTGAATACATACCCTATGATCTTATCGAGTTCTCATAATCATCAATAGGATATTCAGACAGTCAGTCGTTTTAGTCTACTCGTTTTCATCATGACGTTCGAAAAAACATTTGACCTCTGCTTAGACTTAAGCGTACCGACGTATTCATCTACTTGACCAAGAGGAATCCTCTGCCTATCCCAAACAACCAAGACCAAGCTAAGATGATCTTTCAGGAAGAATGCATTCAGAAGCAGGGACAACGATGCCAGACTTCTGCCACTAAATGCCGGACCCATTCTGCGGTCATGAGGAATACCGACCCTCTTTCTATGCGTTCTCGTCGTGGACATGTCAAACAAATTTCTGCCTTGCTGCCTTAATCCCCGTATTCTATAGTCGAAAAGTAGGGTACACATGTCGGTTAGCTTTATAACAAACTCACTCGCAGAGCAGTCGGGGCGCCAGAGGGAAGATGAGGAAATTGAGTGTATAGCTCGAAGTAAGCACGGGAATGGATTGAGGAGGCGCTGTGAAGGAGTTATGGGATTGAAGGGTGTTGACTGGGATCAGACAGATGGGATAGCGCAGAGGGTGCTGCAATAACACATGTTTGTTGTAAGAAGGATAAACCCGAGTAGTAGAGGAGAAACGAAACGTCAAAAGTCAACCTTATGGGAGTGCTTGACGAAGAATACTCCACGAATGGAAGAGAGCCTTGGATTTTATCAAAGATACAGAAGCACAGGATTTCCTTGCCGCTAAGGACCCCATTTGGCTTGTGCCTTGCTCATCAGGCAAAGCACTGCGTCGACGCTCCATTCGACTCACTTACGAGGGCCTCATAATGTTTCCATATCGACCTTCCACACAACAACTCAGTGCAATCTTCGGCATACTTTCCTGCTCTCCCCATTTCAATGCAACCGGCAGATATTATCATTCTCACTAACATACCCGATCTCACTCTCGAACATCTGAGCCAGAATCAACTTCGCATACACCGTAGCTCTTGTAAAGACTCTGAATCTTAGGCAACACCGTAGAAGAGTTCAACTAGAAGTTCAAAATGGGTGGGGCGAGGGAGTGATAGAACAAATACGGGAGAGGCTTGGAAGAGGACTCGGGCGCATCGGGACACTGAAGCGGAAAAGGAGGCTTTTTAACGGGGTGCTAGTTGATTGGATTCAGGGGTTGCGGTGGACGAGACAATGTTCTAGAAAAGTTGGAGACCACGTTTCTATCCACAGTGATTGGTGGAAGTATCATCACCTTCGCCGCACATGCATTTCCCTCGATTGGTCTTTGTGATCTTCCCTGCACCCCGTCCAGAATAACAACAAGCAGCAGACATTGACACATCATTTCCAAGATCTCCATTTCACTTCCCAGGCCTTTCCAACTCCATTGCAATGGAGATACATCAAGCGCAAACACCCGCCTATCAACTCGCCTCCACCAGACTCATATCTTCAAGGATGTCAATCATTTCCGCATTCCAATCAGCAATCTCTTGTCCTGGCCGATTCCGTGCGACATTCTCGATCGACCTGGCAAGCTGAAGCGCTTGCTCATAGTTCCCGGCGTCGTGGTGACATTGAGCGAGAAAATAAATGGACCCCACACGATCCACGTGGTCTTCGCTTAGCGTTCTGGCCCTTATTTCCACCACTGGTTCTAGCAGAGCTATGGCTTTAGCTGTTTCTTCTATCTTCAGATATGCTTCAGTAAGTTTACGTTGTGACGTTAAACGATTCGATGTTCTGTTTTAGCGTTTTTGCCTTTATTTTCACCACTGGTTCTAGCAGAGCTATGGCTTTAGCTGTTTCTTCTACCCGGAAATATGCTCTAGCAAGTGTATGTTGTGACGCCAAACGATTTGAATGCTCTGGTCTTAGCGTTCTTGTTCTTATTTCCACCACTGGTTCTAGCAGAGCTATGGCTTTAGCTGTTTCTTCTACCCGGAAATATGCTCTAGCAAGTGTATGTTGTGACTTCAAACGATCTGGGTGCTCTGGTCTTAGCGTTCTGGCCCTTATTTCCACCACTGGTTCTAGCAGAGCTATGGCTTTAGCTGTTTCTTCTACCCGGAAATATGCTCTAGCAAGTACGTGTTGTGACGCCAAACGATGTGGATGCTCTGGTCTTAGCGTTCTTGCCTCTATCTCTACCACTAGCTCTAGCAGAGCTATGGCTTTAGCTGTTTCTTCTATCTCTAGATATGCTCTAGCAAGTTCGTGCTGTGACGTCAAACGATCTGGGTGCTCTGGTCTTAGCGTTCTTGCCTTTATTTCCACCACTAGTTCTAGCAGGGCTATGGCTTCAGCTGTTTCTCCTACATCCAGATATGCTCTAGCAAGTGTATGTTGTGACGCCAAACGATTTGAATGCTCTGGTCTTAGCGTTCTTGCCTCTATTTCCACCACTGATTCTAGCAGAGCTATGGCTTTAGCTGTTTCTTCTATCTCTAGATATGCTCTAGCAAGTTCGTGCTGTGATTTTAAACTTTCGCCATTCTCTGGGCCCAAAGTTTCATTCCGAACATGAACTATCCGCTCGAACAACTCTATTGCTTTGGTTTTTTCTTCTATTTGGAGGTACGCACTTGCGAGTTCGTGTTGCGAACCTAAGCACTTCGGGTCTTCTGCAGCGAGAGTCTGTTCCTGTACTTCACTGAGCTTTTCTAGCAGAACCACCGCCTTACCGGCGTCACCATAGTCGCGCACAGATCTACCATGAAGGCCCTGAATGACTTGGCCATTTTCAGTTCTGATCCAAGATTCATCTGCCTGGATTGGGATCATCTGGAGCAGTTCAAAGAGCGCCGAGCTACAGTTCAAACCGTACATAGCATAGCTAAGTCGGTATATGGACTGCTGGAAATGGAAGTTGTATTTTTGCGAGTCCCACTCACTCAGACTGTATGCAATGGACTCTATATGAGGCTGAAGCTGGCTCACCAAGACGTCTATGTCTGTAGCGCCAGGATATTTGAAGGACAGTGAAAGCACAGAAAGACCGTTCAGCCTAGCGGTCATGGATTCCTCCGGCATTTGCAGCCGGTCTCTGGACCAAAAGTGGCTCACAGGATGCATGCGCGTCGTACCTCTGGCCGGGTCAAAGTCCACGAGAGAAAGAGATGTGACCAGCGATCTGGCTTTGCGAAGGCGCATCTTGTCCAAGTTGATGTCATTCAGATTCGGTCGCAGAAACGTTGGAAGGTGAGAGACGTGCCACGGAGCAAGCATTTCGATGTCCTCTTCATCATCCGAATTCAAGCAAGAGGAAACTACATCTTCATCCATCGAATTCTTCCAGGCCTCCTCGAAAGCTGCTTCCGGAAAGTCTGTGAAATGCATGAAAGCATAGAAGTTGAGTAGCTGAAGCGCATCCTTAGCGATCTGATCATCGCGGGCTTTGAGGTAAGTGGCTGACACTTCGAAGGTGGCATAAACCCCTCCATACTCTGACCTTTCTTGTTTCGGAAAGCATTCGAAAAGCGCTCGTCGCTGGCGCACAAAAGTATCCCCGTACTCCACCAGACCACACAAGTTTTGAGAGATGGCTGCTCCGGCTTGTATGATAGCAAGGGCATGGCAGCCTAAAAGTTCAGCAACTGCGCGAGCATTGTCTTCATGAGCCCTTCGCGAGCTCCTTTCAATGCCGCAAGCTTTGAGAAGAAGCTCGATAGCCGTTTCCTGACCTAGTCCCTCATAATTGTCCTGTCCTACTGTTTGATGCTTTCTACACTCAAGGAGGCGTGTAGTGATTAAGATACTTCCGTTTTTTCCGGCTGGGAGAAACTGGGCGTAATCTAGGTCCTCATTATCCGCGTTGTCTAGGATGAGCAGCCAGGAGTGAGATGTGTTCTGAAGCCAAGACATTACACCTTCAAGGCTTTCATCGTGATGGCCACAGCTTCGGGCGGTAGTCGCAAAGCCTGTTTTGATCGAGCTCTCACTCCGCCCATCTATCCAAAAAATTCCCCAGAATCTGAAGTATGTCAGTCAGAGTGTATGCGTCGTGCATGTTTATTCCTACTTTAGCCGGTTGTCATGTGCAAGTTTCAGAGCAACCTCGCTTTTGCCAGCGCCGCCCATGCCAACTATAACATATATCTTCGGTATTGCGGTGTGTGCTTTTGTCGAGAGTGAAGTGCATAACGCTTGCTCGAGTTCTCCAAGTTCTTTCTCTCGGCCAGTGAACAAAGTGTTCGGTCTACGAGGGACCATGAAATGTTCACTGTGAAGGTGGAGTGCTAGGTGAATGTAAGCATTACCCCAGCATATACTCGGGCCTTTTGCTAGCGAAGACCAATAAATACCTTCTCCCCGTCCGACAGCGATTGTCTTTGCTTCCTCCACCATCTTTTTAATAGCACTAGTGACAAGAACAAAGCTTGCATCATTAGGGCCAGAGAATTTGCTCATCATGGAGTGAGGTGCATCGAGCATCGTCTTTGGGTGTCCAAACAGGCACGCAGAGTCTTCTTCCACTAACTGTATCGCGAGTCTTGATTAGCCCCAAGTCGCAGCTATGAAATGATGGCTTACAATCATCTCAACGCTGCGGCGAAGCGACAAGGTCCATGCTGGAAGTACGCCTTTAAGGACTTGGGTTTTCTTTGATTCCCAGAAGCACATCGTCATTGTCTGTATCGGAAGGGTCGTCACCATTGTGACAAACTTTTCCGAGCTTTCTCTCAGTGCCCTGGTACTACCATCGAGGCCTTGAAGAAGTGTCTTAGAGGGTGCTTTATTGAGAATGCCGCCTAGCATAGCGTGCCATTGTACAGCTTTGCTAGCCTTGGTGCCTTGTAACGGAGATCCAAGAAAGACAACGCCGGAGTTAGCAACCACCAAGTTTCGGTACTGACTACCA